AATTTCAATAACAGTTTTTGATAAATATTTTTGGTTTTCAGTAAAAAAAAAAGTAGTTTTTGAAAACCAGAACCATTCCATTTTACCTAAACTGAAGCCAAAACTTGAAACTTTTTACTGAAAAACAATTTTTTTTTTAACTGAAAATGTTTTTTTTTTAAGAGACACGTCTGCTCCAAGTCAGTTTTTCAATCAGAAGATTTGGCAACAGTCAGAAAAGATTTGTCAGTTACAGGTGATAGACCTGCAAATATTATTCCAAACTAGGAAGTTTTTGCAGCATCATTTCAATACAGCAAGAGGCCAGTCGAAGAGGAATGATAGCAAGGAAGTAGAGGAAGCCATCAGGTACACCCTCTTCAGGTATTGGATAAGCCTGCATTAATTATTCTCGTTGAAAAGATGAAACTATATTCAGCCAGTTGCTAAATCTGGCACTACATACCAATAACTGAGGGGTAAATTGTACATGTTGATATGTGATAAATGATATGTTATATGTTTACTCTGCTTTTACTCTCCTCTTTCAAATCATATGTGTAGAAAATGCAAACATGCAACATCAGAAATTCCAATGGCTGAGACTTGAAGCTAGGCAAACCCAGACTAGAAACAAGGTACTCATTTATAACAGTTGGGGTAATTAACCATTGGAAGAACTTACTTAGGGATGTGATGGGTTCTCCATCACTTGGAGACACGAAAACAAACTAGACATCTTTTTAAAAGGTATGCTATAGCTCAAACAGAAGTTATGAGCTTAATGCAGAAATTATTGGGTGAGAAATTATTCGACCTGTAGATAGATAAATGCTGTTGTAACTTGGGATCTTGGTATGGAAAAGGTTGAATGCCAGAGGTGTAGAGTGTTTCGTCATTTTCCGCTGTTATGTTTGAAACACAGCTGCATTTTGGAATGTGACTACCGTGTGCACAAAACAAGGTTCTACATGCCTGGGACATTATGTTACCTCATTGTGTAACTTGGTTTTGCCTTGTGGTAATTTTGTGATATTTTCCCATCAAATATAATAGCTCCTCCCTGTTTATTTTTGCTCCTCCCAAGTAATTTTAAACCGCTAGCGGCTGGTATGAAAACTCCTGTGCATACTACACGAATTCCCAGCGGTTCAGATTTTTTACACTGCAGATTTTGCACTGGCAAAAGTTATCTCCGTTCTGCCAGTAAAATATTATTCTGTGGGATAGCTTTTAATTATTATAGTCTGGAGGATTTCTTCCTGCATTACTTCAGCTGTGCAAATTGGTGTAAATGTAAATACAGATTATTAGTTTTTAAAGCAAAAGAAGAGATCTCTGGAGTCTGGAGAATGCTGAACTGTAGTAAATAGCTGATACTCAGGGAATGACCAGAGCTCCGTGTGATAAGGAATAGATGGCCCTAAGGGGTTGACCAATGCTGGATCAAATGACACATAGACTGGAGATATGCAATGGTATAGTGAGCAGTTTGTTAGGTGACTGAGCTGCAAAGAACTGGTGAGATCCAGCTACGTGTTCTGCCAAATGAGCCATCCCTAAGTTATCACCAGTGACAACAGCTCGGAAGCTGCTGTGTTTCCCAGCCAGGAGCATGAAAAGTTAGAATTAGGCAAACTAGACTGCTTTTTATCCTTCAGTCCATTGACAGAGCATGTTCCCACATGCCAGCTTTGATGAAGCCTGCAGGAAATTCAGGAAATGACTGCAGAGGAGTGGAAAGATTGAGTTGTTTGTCATCTGCATTAGCAATCATGTTTGTCTTTGCTGAGCATAAAAATGGCACAAAGAGGTAAGAGGGTATCACCAGGTGTTGTCTGCCCCAGGCAAAGTCATGCCAATCCTTATAAGTATCCGAGAATGGACAAAGCATAACTCATTTGCTCTGTTGTTCCATGATTCTTAAACAAACTGGGTCTCATTCTCATTTACAGTAAGATCCCTTTTAACTTTTCTCTCAGTCTAAGAGAGCCTTAAGGTGAGCATAAGCTGATGCAAGAGTTCTATACCAGCTCTGTTTCCAGGTGCTGGCATTGTGTACAGATCTGGGTGTGTGGCCACAATACACGGTCATGGCTATTTTCTGCTTCACTGGGCCAACGGGGCGCCTTGGAAGCAGACTGTCAGTTGGAGAAGACCTGAACTATCTCTAATTTACACCAAGGGCCAGGCAGGCTCTAGCACAGCCCCAGAATACAGGAAATGCAAAGGTGGCTTAAAGTTATCTATGCTCCCTCCACCCCACTGCTTCCCAAAGTGCAGGAATGGAGAAACTAAGAATCAGGCTCATTGTTTCTCTTTCTTCTGTAGGCTCATTTGCTCCCTTTCCAGCTGCCTGTGAAAGTCTTTGTGCTACCCTATGTCTTGTGAAACTCTCATTAGTTGGAAAATTAGCTATAAAATCAGGTTATAGCCAGAGCCCGTTCACAAGCAGCTAGCTGTGATTTTGCACCTAGGTCTGGAGGAGCTGGCAGATATTTCATGCCAGGCTGAAGCAGCAGTGGAAGGGCCCAGACAAGTTCAAAAGGCACAGAATGGATCAAAACAGCTGGCAGTGGGAAGCTCTATGCCAATATCTATCAATCGATCTAACTATCTAAACTTTCATCTTTTCTGAGCCCATCACCAGCAGATCTGGGTTGTCACATGCTTTTTATATGTGGGGAAAAATGACAGTATAGCAGATATTATCACTTATAATCTATTACAGCATTACCCAAAAGGCCCCATTCAAAACTGGGGCCTCAATATAGAACCAGTTTGTTAAATAAATGCAGTTTTGCACAGTGAACAAATTACCAAATCTAGTAATGCAGATTGATATTACTGAGGAGGATGCTAGTCTCTCCTCAGTTTACTGCCTTTTTGTTGTGGAAGTCATGGTACTATGTACTGTTAAATATCTGCCATTTTTCACCCCAGAGGTGGTTGCATTTCAGTGGTGAAGGTTGTGATTTCTGTATGAAAAACCTGTAAAGCACACAACTTCAAATAAATGTAAATTCTTGGCACAAGGTTAAAACTTTGGCAAAGTCCAGGCTTTCCAAAATTAGGAACACCATTAGGTGCTGGGTAGCTGCGTGGGCAGTAAGGAGAAGGGAATTTCCTGCTGTCTTTCTGATTCATTGAAACTGAACTGTAATGTTCAACTTGGTCTCTCGAAACCAAGATTCACCCTTGACTCACTGCTCCCCAACTATGAAAAAAGAAGGTAGAATCAGTAAGGGATTGCTGAGAGACATCATTTGCTGACTGAAGCCAGAAAACGTGCCAGGGAGAAGTAATGCACAGTAGTGGAGTCACAGCACAAGGTATGTTTATGAGCTTTGTTATGAGGTCGGGAGGGGAAGGAGGAGTTTTATGGATTTCTGAGAATGCCATCTGTCTGTACTTTCATCTGTTAATCATGCTTCATTTTGAAGTTTCTCAGTGGTTGATGCTAGGGATCTGTTAGGACAAATCTGTCTATGCCAAATTGAGAAAAAGAGCGAAGGTTCAAATTTCTACAAGAGAGAGTACAACAGAAGAATATTTGAAAACATGCCAAGAACTTGACTGCCTACACCTAATTTGCTTATAATAATATTTTTTTCTTTAAAGGTTTTTTTTTTTAAAACAAGGATCTTGAAGTGCAGGTCCACTTTGAAAAGAGACTGTATAAATGGCAGGACTGGGGCTCTTTCTCTCTATTTCTCAATAATGCACAGTTCAGGATAGAGACCATATCTTCATGTATGTCTATCTTGTACCTGCCCCAATGGGACCCCAACCCTGACTGCAGCCTCTGGCCACACTTGTAATACATTAAATAATCATGTACGTACTGTTTATTAGTGAGGGGACATGCTTCCCTCCTAACTGCTAGCCCTGCAATCTCATTGTAGGATCTGGGTCAAACTTGTCTGCTTGTTCACCATCATTAGTAATAAAGATTCTGCAGAACCCAGTTCTCCCCTGTTGGTCACATGTGTGCAGTCCCACCGTTTTAGCTAATGCCCTTAGAGGCTGCATCTACTCCAGGCTATTTTCTTATCGTCTCCCACTGGTGCTACCAGTTGTTCAGCTTCACCAGCAGCAGCTGAGTTGGTGCAGTCTCCCAGCATTGTAAACACTCTGTCCTCCAACCGTGCCCAGACCAGGCCTTGAGGGCAGCGGTGAAAACACCAGCCCCCGCCAGCACCTTTTCTCACTATGAAATTCTCACTCGTGTATTCAGGGTCTTTGTCGCCTGTGAAACCCTGTTGTGTTTTCCCAGGCAGAATTTGGCTCTGAAATTGTAATATAGCTAACAATTTTGTGGATGATGCAGGAGCCAGGCTACACTCCAGTTACCTCTCCTTGTAGCAATGCTGGTTCCTACAGGGCTCACAGGAACAGTGAAATCTTAATTAGGGCTTGTCTACACAGGAAAGTTGACTCAAGCAAAGTAACTATACTGGAATAAAGTTACTTTTATTTCATAACAGAGTGTCCAGACAGGGCATTATATTGGCATAGCTATAGCAGAATAATTATACCGCTATCATTTTCCTGGGCAGACAAGCACCTACTTCCAGCAGAGCAGCTGGGCTGCAAGCAGGCCCTTTTTAAGATCACTTTACAAAAGTAAGTTTCCCCCTCTGAGAAAACTGAAGTGCGCAGGGGAGAAGGAAGAGAGTCCCCGCGACTCCAAGCCAGGAGTAGAATCCAAGGCCCAGATTCTTACCCCTGGGATAAAACACACTTGGCCACAGCCCCAGGGCGCCAGCCGCTCTGGATCCAGTCCATGCAGAGACCCCATGTGTGGGGTGCGCCGCCCCCCAGCACCCTGCAGGTGGGGCCTGGACACAGGAGCTGACCCACTGAATGGCCCCCCCACTGCCCCGTGATCCCCCCTCCCTCAGCCCCCCCAGCTCTCATTGCCCCCGCCCCGCCCCGCCCCATGCCCAGCGCGGCCGGCCCTCCCCAGCGCGGCTCCGGGGGCGGGGCGGGCCGCGGCTGCGCCCGGCTGCACCTGGCCAGGTGAGGGAAGGGGAAGGGCGGGGCCGAGCTGGGGCAGCGCCGGAGCCGGCTGCGCGGTGAGTGAGCGAGAGTCCGGCCGCGGGGCCTCCCCCCTGCCCCCTCCCGACGGCCCCCAAGCGCCCCCCAGTCTGCCCCCCCGTACTTCCTGCCCCCCCCCGCTCCCTGACACCCCCCAGTCTGCCCCCGCCCCGTACTCCCTGCCCCCCCCGCTCCCTGACACCCCCCAATCGCCCCCCAGTCTGCCCCCGCCCCGTACTCCCTGCCCCCCAGCCCCCTCCCGTGCCCCTGCCCCCCCCGCTCCCTGACACCCCCCAAGCGCCCCCCTCTGCCCCCGCCCCGTACTCCCTCCCCCCCTCCCTGACACCCCCCGTCTGCCCCCGCCCCGTACTCCCTCCCCCCCCCTCCCTGACACCCCCCAACCCCCCCAGTCTCCCCCCCCCGTACTCCCTCCCCCCAGCCCCCTCCCGTCCCCTCCCCCCCCCTCCCTGACACCCCCCCAGTCTCCCCCCGCCCCGTACTCCCTCCCCCCCCTCCCTGACACCCCCCAATCGCCCCCCAGTCTCCCCCGCCCCGTACTCCCTCCCCCCGCTCCCTGACACCCCCCGTCTCCCCCGCCCCGTACTCCCTGCGCCCCCCGCTCCTTGACACCCCCCAGTCTCCCCCGCCCCGTACTCCCTGCCCCCCGCTCCCTGACACCCCCCCAGTCTCCCCCGCCCCGACTCCCTGCCCCCCCCCTCCCTGACACCCCCCAATCCCCCCCAGTCTGCCCCCGCCCCGACTCCCTGCCCCCCGCTCCCTGACACCCCCCAGTCTGCCCCCGCCCCGTACTCCCTGCCCCCCAGCCCCCTCCCGTGCCCCTGCCCCCCCCGCTCCCTGACACCCCCCAAGTGCCCCCCAGTCTGCCCCCGCCCCGTACTTCCTGCCCCCCCGCTCCCTGACACCCCCCCAGTCTGCCCCCGCCCCGTACTCCCTGCCCCCCGTGCCCCCCAACCCTGCCCCCGGTACTCCCTGCCCCCCCCGCTCCCTGACACCCCCCAAGTGCCCCTCAGTCTGCCCCCCCGGTACTCCCGGCCCCCCAGCCCCCTCCCTGACTCCCCCAAGTGCCCCTCAGTCTCCCCCCCCTGGTACTCCCTGCCCCCCAGCCCCCTCCCGTGCCCCTATCACCCCGGTGCTCCCTGCCCCCCCCCCCCGCTCGCTGACTTCCCCCAAGTGCCCCTCAGTCTCCCCCCCCTGGTACTCCCGGCCCCCCAGCCCCCTCCCGTGCCTCTAAGCCCCCGGTACTCCCTGTCCCCCCCGCTCCCTGACTCCCCCCAAGTGCCCCCCAGCCCTCTCCCGTGCCCCTATCCCCCCGGTACTCCCTGCCCCCTTCCAACCGCCCCCTGACTCCCCCCAAGTTCCCCTCAGTCTCCCCCTCTGGTACTCCCTGCTCCCCAGCCCCCTCCCGTGCCTCTAACCCCCTGGTACTCCCTGCTCCCCAGCCCCCTCCCGTGCCCCTATCCCCCCGGTACTCCCTGTCCCCTCCCTACTGCCCCCTGACTCCCCCCAAGTGCCCCTCAGTCTCCCCCCCCCCCCCAGTACTCCCGGCCCCCCAGCCCCCTCCCGTGCCCCTAACCCCCCGGTACTCCCTGCCCCCTCCCCACCGCTCCCTGACTCCCCCCAAGTGCCCCTCAGTCTCCCCCCCCAGGTACTCCCTGACCCCCAGTGCCCCTAAACCCCTTCCCCCCCCCCCCGGTACTCCCTGACTCCTTTGCCCCCCCAGCGCCCCCCTGCCCTTATTGTCCCATGGCTCCTCCCCTCAGGCTCCTTCCCTTCCCACTCACTCCTTCCTACTCCTCAGCCTCCTGCCTCATCCCACCTGCCCATGCCCATTCCTACCCCTCAGCTCCATGCCCCCCAGTCTGCCCTTCTCCCCCCCACCCATCCCTTCCTATCCCTCAGCCTCCTACCTCTTCCCACCACCCCCATGGATCCTTCCCATCCCAGCCAGCCCCCACCCTATGGCCTACACCCACCACTCTCTGCCCCGGGGATGACTTCTATGCCTCAGGGGAAGCCCTGAGGGAAAAAGGTTTAATGCTGAGCTAGACTTTGTCCAGACTAGGAAAAGAAGGCGTGTTTTTTCAACTGAGCTGGATTAGCCCAGTTCATACCTCCTGTAAACACTAGTGCAGACAGTTTAACATGTCTAGACTGATTCTAGCAGGTTGAATGATAGTCTTGGCAGTAGGGTGATCACCTGGCTGGTATTTGACCAGCCTGGCCGGGTTATTTTTATGGTGAAGTCAACCTGTATCTATGCTGGTGTTAAACTAACTTGATTGTTGAAAGCACAGTTTTTCCTAGCCTATAAAAAGCCTTGAGTCACTTACCACTGCGTGTAGTAGACCCCTCTTGCCTTAGTCTATGGGTGGGCCATGGAAAGCCTTGGGACTAGTCTACATGTAGAAATTGATCAGCATAGCTATATGGTGGTCAGTTTACTGAAGTAGACAAGGCCTTAGCTATGTGGGGATTCCCATAGAGAGAAAAGACAATGGCCATCTCTCATCTAGTGTCTTGTCTCTGAAGACTGACCTACACTAGGAAAATGTTGTTCCATCGATGTTTGACCACTGGCATTTTAAGCACTGTTATCCTAACCATATTTATCCATTTGGTGTTTATAAAACTAGTGGCAGCCTGCTTCGCAATTTGGCTAATTGTAATGGAGCTGCACCAGTGTTAGCAATGGTAGGAAACTGCTGCCGAGTTTCCTTAGTGTAGACAAGATCTGAATGATCATATCCACTCAGCGGTTCAGAGAAAAAGTACAGCACTCCAGTGATGTACCTTACTGTGCTTTGCTGTCCCTTGTTGGGAAGTTTCTTCCCCTAATATGCTTGGAAAAGCTATAAGGGAGAGCATGAGACCCTGGGGTAGGAATGACTGTACCCAACTAATCCAATTTACTTTTCATGATTTGCTGTCGGTGTAATTGTGGCATCTCTTGGCTTAGGCAATGAGAAGTGAGTCAGTTTCATTTCTGTTTAAAGGTAGTTTTCAGTTCAGTTTTTGCAACACAAACATTGCAGCTGGGGAATATAGTGTGAACTGAGGCATATAGGTAGGACAACATCGATACCCAACCCAGAAAGCCTCATGTATCAGGATAGCATAAGGTAGCCAACCCTCCAGGATTGTTCTGGAGTCCCCAGGAATTAAAAATTAATCATAATTCGAGAGTATGTTATGTGATGAAACCTCTAGGAATACATCCAGTCAAAATTGGCAACCCTAGGATGGCAGCCTTTTCTACCCTTAACAGTAAAATGGACCAAGCTACATCCCTCGGGTGTGAAAACTTATGTATTGGGTGTATAAATCTTAAAATTAACTGTACTTGAAATGGCTCTAGGGCTATATCTTCATTGCAGAGTTAACTTGAGTTATCTATACTTGAATTAGCCTAGCTCAAGTGAGAGCAGAATAACACTTGAGCTGTGTGGAGCGATTGGAATACTGCGCGGAGTGATTGGATGAGCAGCACAGAGTTGTACTAACTCGGCAGTAGCCTGCCTGTACCTCCTAATGGGCTAGTCATAACTCAAGTTACAGACACTACCACGCTTGAGTTAAGGGGTTTTGTGTACGGATGGGACTAGTTAGGAGCGAACACACACTTTTAACTTTACATTGAGGGTTTTTTTGTTATACTGGAAATTCACTAGGAGATTCCTTTTTGTCCTTTTCACCAGTGGATTCTGTATCTGTTTTAATAGTGTGTGGCAAGCCGGAGTGTGAATCTACAGCGCACCCGCCTGCTGTGTGCTTATGTCTCATGTGGTCACTGCTACAATTCAGTGAAAGTCTTGGAGTGCGCCACATAGTATGTTAGTGCAAGGCAGTCTGGTGTGCTGTAGGTTTACACCACGGCTGGCTGCACGCTAATGTAATAAGCCCTTAGTCCGAAATAGACAGAATTTGGTGACCTTATAGGGATGCAACAAAATGTTTGTTTGATACATTTTTTTGAGAGAGCTCAAGATATGCTTTCCCGAGCAATAAAGGAACAGAAAGGAGCTTTTGTAGGTGGATAGTTGAGTTCCTGTTGACATTCTTTTATGCTGTTGGGATATTATTTTATTAACAATGGTGTGTTAGGGCATCTAAAGTCTTGAATAGGCATCTTTTAACCTATTTCTTAAATCTAAATTAAATAAACAGCATTTTGTAACAGGATCTGAGTGTTTTTCCCACTTAATAAATAAAACAAACTCTATTCTGGTTACAGATTAACTCTTTCTGTATCACGTGCCTTGGAATTGGACCTGCAGGTATTTCTACAAATACATTGATGTATTTGGTCTTATAGTAGCTTCTTTAAAGCTTTTTGCACCTATGCTGAAATCATATTTTGTAATTTTTACATTAATAATCCTCAGTAGATTGTGAGAGATTCATATATCTTCTATAACTATTCTTGATTAAGAAAAATATTTGCATTGTAAGATTTATACACCCAGTACGTAAGTCCTTTTGGACCAAAGTTTTGTATGCTAAAAATCAGGCCAGATAAAAATAGTTACAAGGAAGAGTTTTAAACCACTCAAAAAATGAAAACTTTAAACATGTACATGTAATTTAAGCCTCTTTTCAAGTAATTTGAGCCTGAAATTTAATATACTGTAAAATTATCTGAAGAACACTCTCTATATTCTAAATATCTTGAATTTTTTATAGTGTTAATCTTGATCACATGCAATTTTCATGTGATGCTTTAAACTATTTTTCACCTTGTCTGGTTGTTTACTTGATTCATTTCAAACTGAGAGTACATGTTAGATTGTTTCAGTTTTACTTTTCGTTCGACATCTGGTTCTCATACACTGATAAAATACTGCAATGTTTAAGTTGCAAACACAGTGGATGAGTATTTATTTAAATCTCAACAAACGTTCAGTTGATTTTTAAAAAGAGGAGTTATTTCTGTTAACAAGTTTAATAAAACTTTTTATCAAAAAATCTGAACTTGGGAACAAGGGTTCCTTTAAACATGAATAAATCTTTGCTGTCCATTTCCTTTGACAGCTCTCTTGTAACCAAACTAAAAACGTACTGGTTAGTGTAGTTTGGCATATTGAATAACGAGAGAGAGAGAGAGAGCTGTGTCCTTCACAAATACCTGTAAGATTTGAACTACAGATGACTTTCATGGCTGTTTGGAATACACCATGTAGATGTGCAACTACTTTCAAATTAAATCTGCGTTTGTTATCCTTCACTACAAAATGGACTCACTTGAGACTATGCTGCAATTGCTGGATTTTGGGGGCGGTGGGGGGCGCCCGCTGGGGCATGTTTTTACGTCAGTTGAGGAGGGAAAAGAATATTGTAATTGTGGGATAATCTGATCAGGTAGTTCAATTGGAAGTATTTGAAGAGTTTTTTAAACTCTAATATCTTTTCTTCCACTGTTTGTTTTTAGCTTTATCTCTTGCATAACAAGCTTTGTGGCATCTAAAACAACATTCTGATTGGGTTTTATCCTTCACTTTGCTCAATTATTAACACAAATCATACACCAACTTCTAATGCAGAAGGCTTCTGCTTTTACAAAGATTTAACCCAGACTGTTTTAAACCGTTTGCAAACATTAAGGCCTTTTTTAGTGACAGATTAGTAACTGTTTCTCATAGAATATAATCTGGCTAAATCTAATAGCTATTACATATTTAAACATGCTTTCAAATAAGTATAGAAGAACGACAATTAATTAACCATCACATATGATATTCCTAATTCAGTTTCTATTGCTCAGTTTCAAGAAACTGTGCTTACTTTATTAGTGAATAAGAGACTCAGGTAATTCTTGGTGGTTTTCCTACTGACTGTTTTTTTTTCTTTCTGTAGATAATGGCATTACATCCACGCAGAGTTCGTTTGAAACCCTGGCTAGTAGCCCAGGTAGATAGTGGCATGTATCCAAACCTCGTATGGCTTAATCGGGAAGCAAAGCGATTTCAGATCCCCTGGAAGCATGCAACTCGACACAGTCCTCAGCATGAAGAGGAGAACACCATCTTTAAGGTGGGGGAGGGAGGGCACCCCCCCCCCGCTAATTTTGTTACACTGCTTTTCCTCTTACTTCTAAGCAGTTTGAATCTTGTTTTATTTCTTTTTTCTGCATGAACTGTTAAAAACAAATGCTTTGTGATGATTTATTCTCTTGCTACCTACCATTTGTAAGTCAGACCAGAAACTTGCAGATTACACCACAAGCCTTTGTATTTAATTTCTTACACAAACTGAACACACTTCTTTGCTGCCTATAACTGTGAATTCCAACACATAAGCAACAGCTCTAGGCTGGAGACAAAGTGTTTAAGAGTTGTTTGGAATAATTATTGTGTGATCATTCTAGTAATAATTTGTAGCCACATTTTGCCCACTAAATGCATCCAGTTCCTTTGACTTCAGAAGGAATGTTGCATGCATCTGAATGCAAAATTTGGCATTTAGTTGGGAGAGAGAATTGTTAAAGGCGTCACTGTACTCATTCGTGTTTCTTTCAAACTACCAGCCTAATTCCATATTGTAGAAGACTTCCTAGTTACTGCTGACTTTTAACAGGTTTGTTTCCTCTAATAGCTACCTTGCCTGGAAAGTGGCTGGCTTGTTCCGAATATTTAATGGAAAACTTTCATTTAAATTAATATTTCCTCTCTGCAGAATTTGACCTGAAATCAGAATACAGAATAAATTTGGAGTGAACAAATTCAAGTGTGCCTCCCTTTTCTGATATCCACTATGGTCTCATGTGGAATCACAGAATTTGTCTGCAATGTGTGGCTGGATGCTACTGTTACACAGGCAGAATTTGTGTAACCGTAGCATCCAGCCACATGCTGCAGACCACTTATTAAGGCAGAGTTTAGGGCTGTTAAAAAGAAAACGAGTATCTTGGCTAGTGCTTTTTCCTCCTATTTGAGCCAGCTTGTTCTAACCCAACAAACTGTGGCTCAAATTTTCAAAAGTGATTAGTGATTTTTGGGTGTCCAACCTGAGAGATCTAGAAGGGGCCTGATTTTGAGAGCGTGCTGATGACCAGCACCATGTAAATCAGGCTTCCTTAAGGTGTTTGAGGTTGGGCACCTAAAATCACTCGTCACTCATAAAAATTTGAGGCTTTTTTGTGTTAGGGGAGAAAGATAATGTGCAGGGGAACAAAGGTACTTTAATTGTTAGCTGCTCTAAGAAGTGTTGTAGCTTAGAAGATTTCTTGTAAAAGACAACAGTTTTTTATAATGTATTTGTTTGGAAACCTGACACAATTCAAAATCGGCATAACAACAGGACTCATATGAACACTGTGTACTTTGCCCCCAGGCATGGGCTGTGGAAACAGGGAAATACCAGGAAGGAGTTGATGATCCAGACCCTGCAAAATGGAAAGCACAGCTCCGATGCGCTCTTAACAAAAGCCGGGAGTTCAACCTGATGTATGATGGCACGAAAGAGGTGCCCATGAATCCTGTTAAAATTTATGAAGTGTGTGATATTCCACAGTCTCAGGGATCAATCATTAACCCAGGTGAGGAAAAGGGTGACACGGTGCTAGTTACTAAGCAGGCATCAGTCCAATACATGGGCCTTGTTCCCCTGATGTATTAACTCTTCAGCTACCTCTGCAAAGTGGCAAACATTGTTGACGGTGGCGTGGTCCATGATGACTAATCAAACTAAAGGATTTAGACCCACATTCATCCCTGGCGTAACTTTGCTGAAATTAATGGAGTTATACTAGGTGAACTTAGCCCCTTACAGAGGAACATAAGAGTGGCCATATTGGGTCAGACCACTGGTCCATCTTGCCCAGTATACTGTGTTATGAAAGTGGCTGCTGCCAGATACTTCAGAGTGAGTAGACAGAACAGAGCAATAATTGAGTAATCCATCCTCTGTTGTCCAGTCCCAGCTTCTGGCAGTCAGAGGTTTAGGGACACCCAGAGCATATGTTTGTCTCTGACCATCTTGGCTAATAGCCATTGATGGATCGCTCCTCTATGAACTTATCTAATTCTTTTTTGAACGCAGTTATATTTCTGGCCTTATATATATAAGTATTTCCTTATATTAGTTTTTAAACCTGCCGCCTATTAATTTCATTGGGTCACCCTTGGTTCTTGTGTTATGTGAAGGTGTAAATAACACTTCTTTATTTACTTTTGGCACACCATTCAGGGTTTTATAGACTTCTCATATCTCCTCTTAATTGGGACATTTCAGCTTAGAAAAGAGACAATCTTTTTAATTTCTTCTCCTATGAAAGTTGTTCCATACCCCTAATGGTTTTTGTTGCCCTTCTCTGTACTTTTCCCAGTTCTAATATATCTTTGAGATGGTGTGACCACAGAGCTGTACGCAGTATTCAAGGTGTGGGCCCTTATTTCCTACTATATTAAATGTTGTACAGTCATTGGTTATGCTTTTCAGTCTGCATCTTACCTCTTTAGCATACATGATTTTAATACATAGTATGTATAACTCTTCTCAGGGTTGTGCACAAGGCGGGCCAAGCAGGGACATGTCCCCCCCCATAACCAGCGGGGAACAGAACTCCTATGACCACAGGGGCTTGGGGGAGGGGGAGGCGAGCTCCTCCAGTCGCTCGGGGTGTGTGTGTGTGTGTGTGTGTGTCAGAGCTCCTGGGGCTGCAGGGGTGGGGAGCTGGCCAAAGATGACGGATGGTGCCCTTCCAAAAGCCTCAATTTTTTTATTCCTGTGCACGCCTCTGACTCTTCTCACGTTGGTAAAGCATGCAAGTTAACTTCTGATACTCCACAAAACTAGTTTCTAATTTACAGTATTTACCAGTAAGTGCACTACAGTGGAGGATTGTTAGATTCACCTCCTTGGGGGGAGGTGAATGCTGTGAGCAGTACCCTTTTGGCCAATGAAAAATATCACAACTGAGAAATAAAAGGAAATTGGTCAGAGCCTGACAATTGGCCACTATCTTCGCTGTGTGCTGCTGACCTATGAAACCATTCAAGGTAAATGGAATAAAACTGAAAGGGAGAAACTAAATTCACATTGGGCAAAACTCAACACTTCCATTGAATTTGACCAGAAATGAATTTTGCTCAGTGTCTTGAAACTAAACTTTGACTTAAGTTTGTAACTGAAACTGACCTCTTTGTTATTCAACAAGTGCATCTGTTGGCCCTGTACTGCAGTGGAAGGGGGAATTGATGTTCTATGTCTTTTTTTTTTTTTCTTCTCAGTAGTCAATGAAGTTCGGTACTGCTTGCTAACCCCATACTGTATGGTTATGTACAGGCTCCACCGGCTCTGCTCCATGGGATGAGAAAGATAATGACCTTGATGAGGAGGAGGAAGAGGAACTGAATCCATCTCAGCATGTTCCCATACAGGACACCTTTCCATTTCTTAATATCAATGGTTAGTAGAATGGGATATAGTGTGTCAATGAAGTGATGGACTTGTAAATCAATGTATGTAACTAGCATTTTAATTTAGTTGGCTATTTACTAATCAGTACTATGATAGAGGGGCAGTGTGGCCTCATACATAAAGCACTGGATTGGGGCTTGAAAGAACTGAGTTCTGTTCCTGGATGATCCTGGGCAAGTGACTTTACCTCTCTCTGCCTTAGTTTCCCTATCTCTAAAACAGGGATGATGATCCTGATAATCTTTGAAAAGCACTCTGAGATCTCTGGATCAAAAGCACTACATAAGAGCTAGGTGGTATTATTATTGAAGCAGACTTTTATAACTCTATCAGAAAACGAGAGGGAGTGGTTAAAAATAACTTCTGAAAGTTTTCTTCTCAGACCACCTTATTCTTAACTTCTTGCCTTGTAAAGAAATCTATTAACACACCAGTATTATATCCCACATTGACAAATGTGTTCTTTCTCTACTTCAGTTTACATCTATAGCAAACTTGATTCCTCTAATACGCTTTATTAAAAGAAAATTTCTGCTGTGAACTAAAAAGCAAAGGGATGCACTATTCTGTATGTCAAATCAAAATATCCTGTAATAATGGAGATTTCTTAAATAGCTGCTGTTGGTATATTTTTATGCAGCTAGGTTTGGGTTTGGCAGATTTTAACTGTAATGTTGCCTCAGCACTTAAATGCACTTTTTTTATTAGCTTCCGAAGGGTCAGACCTGGTGTTTAAAATTTTCTAGACAATCTGGTTAGACGAGATGCAGTGAAGCTGTCCCTTTTCCAGTCTCTAAACCTTTGACTTGAGCTCTTTTTATGGCAGATTGCTAGTTTTTAATTAAACTAAAGACATTTCATGTGTTAGGACAGTGATACTAGTACTTAGCTGTCATAATAGTGCTCCTAGAGAGTGACTGAAGTTTGCCATCTCGTAGCTGTTTGAACCTGTATGCATTGAGATCATTCAGTGCAGTTCTCAGTTAGTGTGGTCATTCTATATTGCCTATCCACTGACGCTCTTTAGCCATCTCAGTCTGACTCTGCCTGGGTACTTAACTCCCTTCCAGTCTATGAAGATGTTTGCTTCAGGTCAGGTGGAAGCATGCTGGTAGTGTTGGGGAGAAGTGGTGTAAGAGAACTCATTGTTCATGTGTTACCAGCTCTGTGATTAGAGGGTGGAATGCCAAACAGCTGCACCAGTTTTGCCTTACAGCAGCTTCTGCACTTAACAGAATAATTTGGGACCAAGGGAATGAGAGCAGATGTTCCTATTCATGCCTCTATCCCTCTATATTTGACACGATGGAAAGCCAATGACAGCACTTTCAATCAATTCTGCGCCACAGTTCTGTCTAGATAAATTAGCCGTGTTAATAAAAATGCAGTCATTACTGGACCAAATAAATGTTTAGTTTTTAAACTATTTATTTATTTACTTAGGAAGATAAGTTTACAAATCCTTGCTATGTAAATATTAGAACAAAACTCTCATTAAAACAGCTAGCTTTTGTTTAAAGGCATTATACAGGAATACAACGATCAGATCTTTCTACTAACAGCGGGCTACCATATTAAAGAGTGAGCATCATTATAGCACCTATGATATGTTTCTAATGACTTTATTAAATAGAGTGAAATCTCTGCATATGCATATTTAACAGACCAGGCATGTCTGTCAAATGCTAATATTAAAAAAAAAAAATGGTCTGCTGTGCTAGTTTTTTGCAGGTGAATGTAATTTGTCAAAATTTTTAGTGTTTTTTGTTTGTTTTTTTAAAATATACTTGTTCTCAAACTTACTTGATTCTTCTGTATAGATTCCCCGATGGGGCCAGCCAGTGCGGGAAACTGCAGCCCTGAAGCGGTGTGGCCAAAGAATGAACCTCTAGATATGGAGATGCCTCCATCTGCTCTGCAGCATGACTTCTTCAGCTCTCCGGAGCTCTGGATTAGCTCTCTTCCTAGTAAGTGTATCTGTGGATTTCTAGTGCATCTGTCACTGTGGCTAAAACTGTCTGTTTTACTTTACTGTTACTGCATTTTGACTTCTTACACTTCTGCACATTAGATAACTGTACGTATTTAGAATATACTTCATCAGGTCTAATTTATATTGCAATGTTCTTCCTGTAATAACGTCTACCGTGTTTTATCTGGTGCATGCCAAAGTCTTTACTGAACTGGAACAAAGTCATTCTAACAATTTATCTCTTAGTGACAGATCTAGAAATCAAGTTTGAGTATCGAGGAAAAGAGATTGGGCAGACAACGACTGTAAGCAACCCCCAGGGATGTAGACTCTTCTATGGAGAACTGGGCCCTATGCCAGACCAAGAAGAGCTGTTTGGACCTATTAGTTTGGAGCAAGTAAAGTTTCCAGGAACAGATCAAATCACCAACGAAAAGCAGAAGATCTTCACAAGTCGGCTACTAGATGTTATGGACAGGGGACTGATTCTGGAGGTCAGTGGCCATGCCATCTATGCCATTCGGCTCTGCCAGTGCAAGGTGTACTGGTCTGGACCATGTGCCCCTTCATCCATCGCACCAAACTTGATTGAGAGACAAAAGAAAGTCAAACTCTTCTGTCTGGAAACATTTCTAAGTGGTAAGTAACTTGAAATGCTAGGGAATAATGCTGAGTTCTGGCTTTTCAGCTGACAGCGTTATTCCAAATTGGCTGGAAGAGCCAGACTAGGCTCAGTCTTGATAGTCTTACTCCTCGTTTCAATGCCCACTGAAGTAAATGGGAGTCTTTCCAATGACTTCAGTGAGCTTTGGATTAGGCCCAAGGTGAGAAGGAAAAAGGAAACAGATATTGTCTTCTGCTAAACAACTAACTGGTGGTTTCGTTCATTGAGCAGCATTGGTGGCTAGTGTAATTCCTTGAGAAGCTTCTATCCAGGAGAGCAAAAAAGCTCTGAGATGTGAGAGAAGTGATGCTAGAAGGGTAAACATTTTTCTCTGGAATAAAACTGGAGATTCTGAACAGGCTGCTTTGTAGTAAGCACTTGTATTCGGATGGTGGAGCAGGATATTGTACCACCATCAGAAACATAATTCCCCATTTGACGTTATCACACTGCTTCTTTTCTTAGAGCTGATTGCCCATCAGAAAGGACAGGTAGAAAAACAGCCACCTTATGAGATCTACTTCTGTTTTGGAGAAGAATGGCCTGATGGAAAACCTAGGGAGAGAAAGCTGATAGTGGTTCAGGTAAGGGAGCTCTGGCTCTGCAAAACAAACATCTGTTAGAACAAATGGATGAATCAAATACAGATTTCCTTAATACGTTTTCTCCATATCAGCATATGCAACAAAGTAGAACTTCTTCATGAGATAAGAAACCAGAACTGCAAGCTGGAGGATTTTTTTGGCTTTTAAATCAAAGTAAAATGGAATCCACTTACAGTGAAGTGGACTGTTTCAGTGTAAACTGCAGCTCAGGTGATAGTGAAACTGTTCTGTGGATAAAGAGTCTACCACTACAGAAGTGTCTTGGCATACCTGAGTGTTTGGAAACCTTACTATGCCATTTTTAGGTTATCCTCATGAGGCTAAAATAACTGCACTTTCTTTTAAACAGGTAATCCCAGTTGTAGCTCGGATGATTTATGAAATGTTTTCTGGTGACTTCACACGTTCCTTTGACAGCGGCAGTGTGCGGCTTCAGATCTCCACTCCTGACATTAAAGACAACATTGTTGCCCACCTGAAACAGCTATACCGCCTCCTGCAAACTCACCAAGAGGGCTGGCCAATGCAGGCATCAACTATGCATATTGCTCAGCCACTCCCAGCACAATGATGTATTTTCAGTCTCTGATTTAACTCTGCTCCACTCTCTGGTTTCTTATATGTACATAGAAAAGGATATTTTAAAATGGTGCCTTGCCCATATATAAATAAAACCTGTGTAAATCCTATATACAGATGGTCAAATTTCAACGGTATATGAAATTCACTTTTTTGAGAGAATAAAATGAAAGGCTTTGAAGCAGGGCCTTTAGTTACTTTTGATCTCAGGCTAGTTTGCTTAAGCAATCTATTATGTAATAAATCACAGGTTTTAACATCTTAAATATTTTTAAATAGCTAATGCTTACAGCCTTGTGTATAAAATAGTTGATCAATGTAAAAAACGGTTTTAATTATCAACTGTCAATGTGCATTTTATGCTCCATTAAAATTGCTTTGAGAAATAATGGATCAAGATTAAAATAGTTATTTTGAATTTTCTGTAGCAACAAGTGGCTGGCTGATGCTTCATCTACTATCATGCTTTAAATATTGATACATAATAATTTCATTGATATGTACAGATGATTCAAGATTAAGGTTTTAACTTTACAGCCTTCAGACCAAGGTTCTGCCACAGCACATGGGGCTGGACTTGATGACTTCTCAAGGTCCATCTGAGCCCTACATTTCTGATTCTGTGATTTCATTTCAGAGAATGCTACCATGCAGGTCCTGGACTTTAATCTCTTATCTAACAGCCTAAATTTGGCCTCCAGGACCTCTCTTCTACCTTTCATTGTGTCATTGGTACCTACATGTACCACAACCACCTGCTCCTCTCCAGCACTGCACATAAGTCTGTTTACCTGTCTTGAGACGTCCTCAACCTTCAGACACGGCAGGTGGTTCTCCCATTCATCACAAACCGAACTACCTGTATTTCTGTATAAACTGCCTCATGCATAAATCGGAGGAAAGAGGCTAATAGGTGTAACTTTTTCATTATTCAGTTGCCTATTTCACTTCCTGACCGTAGTTGTGCTGCTCTCTTAAGTATTTCCAGCAGTTGACAAGAATGTGTGAGGAACAGTGGGGGGGGGATAAACAAGGGGAAATCGTTTTACTTTGTATAATGACACATCCACTCCCAGTCTTTATTCAAGCCGAAGTTAATTGTATCCAGTTTGCACATTAATTCCAATTCAGCAGTCTCTCGTTGGAGCCTGTTTTCGAAGTTTTTTTTGTTGAAGAATTGCCACTTTTAGGTCTGTAATCGAGTGACCAGAGAGATTGAAGTGTTCTCCGACTGGTTTTTGAATGTTATAATTCTTGACTTCTGATTTGTGTCCATTTATTCTTGTATGCAGAGACTGTCCGGTTTGGCCAATGTACATGGCAGAGGGGCATTGCTGGCACATGATGGCATTGGTGGATGTGCAGGTGAACAAGCAACCCCAGCTAATCATATAAACCATGCTGCAAAAAAAAAAAAAAAAAAGACATTCTGCTTTCCCTATACCCAGCAAAAATAAGGTGCTATGATATGCACCCTAACAGGAAGCAAACAATGTTACAAATGATAACAAATTTACCCAAACCTTTACTGGGATATTTATAACATCCCTGCTGTACTATACTCATTGGTGAATGAGCTCCTGTTTACTGCAGTGTCAACCTCTGAGTCTACTAAAACTTAGTGTAGGAAGTACTTTCCTTCTGATTTACTGTAACCCAAGAAAGCTGATGTCATTAAGCACCATAAAAACCTTGGAATGCTTCCAGAATACACAACGCCTACAGGCAAAACAGCAGTATATCTATTAGTGTACGAACTGGCATTTCAAAGTACATGGAACATGGCTTCCCTAAACTAATTGTGCCATAAGTAATAGATGGGCAAACCCAATCTGGGCAAAGCATGAACCAATCCCATGTTCGATCCAAATACTTCGAGGTTTGGAAATGCGTTTAATTTTTCTTCTTGCTTTTAGTTGCCTCTGTGCTGCTTGTTTCCAAAATAATACTGTGATGGGTATGTTTACAAAGGTTTAGCTTTTAGTATTTCTGAAGTACTTTTAGGTTACCTATTGTATCTAAGCTCCCACCTTAGGCTGTTGTCAGGTCTTCAGGATTTTTAAACGGGCAGTCTAGATAAAAATTGGAACCGCTGCCTGTTTTGAGGTTTACGTACCCTCACAAGCATGTGCTATAGTAAGTCTTCTGTCTCCTGAAAACAGGATGAGGGGGGCCGGCTAGAGCTTGCCTTCACAAGTGTAAAAGAAAGGGAACTCCACTGCCTTCAGAGTAGCTGGTGTGGAGGCATCGTTTGCCTTCTAGTTTACAAGATCCCAAGCTACCAGAGGGGAAAGTGGGGTGATGTGATGTGGATTAGCCTTTTTTAAAGCCCTGCTACAGTGGTAGAGTTACAGTACTGCAAGTCATGCCAGGGGCCACAAGTTACGGGGGCCTATGCAGCAGAGGGGGCCTAGGGTGGTAGATTTTGGGATCTCTGGTTGCCCCAAAGGGTGGCTGAGGCGGTGACCGGTGAGGCTGGTGAGACCGTCCAGGGGAGGGGTTAGGCTGCTGACCAGGGCTCTGAGGAAGTCCTCTCACCCCATCTCCTGGGTAAGATGGTCACTGTGGCTCAAGCTTTTTGCAGCCCGGGGCTTTTCTGGGTGGCCCTGTCAGGTTTTCAGCCCCTGCCCCGGACTCTCACTACTGCCGCCACTTCAAGAGCAAAGAGCTCACCTGGAAAGAGGTGGGAGGGTTCCTGAGGGCAAGGTTTGGGGGTGGGGTGGGCTGCGATGGGCTGCGGCCCTAAACCTATTCTTGCACCAGGCTCACTGGGGCTTTGTTATGCCCTGGCCATGCTAGCGGGGAAGGTTGCCCAGCAAGGTCCCCCTCTTGCAAAAGGAGTGTATCAGGGCGGGCCTCTGAGCTGCTGAGTGGATGAACCTCCCAATAGCCTGCAGCAGGTGCTGCCCGCATTTTATCTCTGCGGGGTTTATCCCTGTAGCATGGCGGGAGGCAGCAAGGCAATGCTGAAAACGGGCCCCTCTGACCTACTGGGAATACCCTGCAGGAGAGGGGGAAAGGCCAGGCCCAGAGGAGAGGTTTGTGGAACCCCGCATAACTCGCCAAAAAGGATACTCCAGCCCGATGGCTGCGACACTCCAGTGGGCGCTTCTACCGAGACAATCTTTCCAGCGAAAAATGTCCCTACCAGGAGTTTGGATGCTAGCTTGTGGGCTGTAGCTCACGAAAGCTGACGCTCAAATAAATGTGTTAGTCTCTAAGGTGCCACAAGGACTCCTGTTCTTTTAGCTTTACAGGGTGCTTCGGCCGGTGCTGGTTCAGTACTTGGCTTTAGTCTCTGAAATGGTCACAGGACCTGATTCTGAGACAATACAACCCTTGTTATCTGAGCATCCCCAATAGGGGTCTGGGCTGCAACTGCATCCGGGAAAGGTTTTGTTTGTTTTTAACTTCTGTTCTGGGCTGCAGCTGCAACCGGGAAAGGTTTTGTTTGTTTTTTAACTTTTTGTTCCAAGTCTGGCGTTTCGTTTGCATCAACGCACCGTCCCCAGACGTAGCTGCCATAGTTTGAAGCCTCCCTGCCGGGGCTATGGTCCTGCAGCCTGCTCTGGGGCTAGCGGAGCTGTATCAGCAGCGGGTCCAGCTTGCAGGAGGGGCCGGGCCCACCCCCCAGCCTCCCGCTTTAAGGGCAGGCAGCGGGCGGGACTCGCCCGGCCGCTGCCGTGTCAGGCGCTGGGGGCGTAGCGAGCCGGGGGAAGCGGAAGCCTGAGCGCTGAGCCGGCGCCCGCGTCCCGCCCCTCGCTTCCCGCAGCGGAGAAAGCACCAGCCGGGCAGCGCGCAGGCGAGGCCGGGCCCCGCGGCGGGGGTGCACGCTGCCGCTCGGCCCCCAGCTGGCGCAGACCCAAGAGGAGCTTCCCCTTCCCCCCGTCGTGTGCACGCAGGCGGTGCTCGGCGCTGCGCGGCGCTGCGCTGGTGGGCTCTCTGGGGAAGAGGGTGTGTGTGCAAACTGTTCCTCAGCCTAGCTTCCTCTGGACGACTGGTGTTCAATGCTCTCTGCAGCCTCTTTCAGGGCGTGTAACGGGGGGTGGTGAATCCCCTAGTGTGATGCTCTGGCTGGGTTTTAATGACCTCTGTGGAAAAACATCTTTCATTTCATTTCCACTCCTATATTCTTTGTTTCAGTTGGGAGCCAGGAGGAGAGCCTCGCCCGCCGGCTTCCTGCCACCACCAGCACGTGCGTTGCGGATCGTGGACCACGGTTTAGGAACCTCCAGTTTAAGGAGCCTGTATCTCATCCGTGCCGCCCTAAACTTCGTGCTATTATTCAAGCTGTTCTCTTCAGTCGTTAAAACCCCTAATCCTGGAGTGGACTCTGTAAATTGATTCTAGAGCTTGATGGGATGGGGTTACATCCCAGAGACTCTTTGTTATAACGTAGGTAGAAATAATTTATTTTGCCCCTGCCCCGTGCAGGATAGATGGGGATTGAATGGCTGTTTATTTGTGCACACAAGGGTGAAAATGTGAGGATTTTGGGATCTATTTGCTTTTGCAGGAATTAAAGATGGGGGAGGTGGGGGTGGAAATCTAACTTTAAGAAGCTCACAAATAAATTGGATCCCTTTTAAATGCTAATACTATTTATTTCAGTATCTTTCAGGAAGTGACTTAGGGCAGCAGAAGTCTAAAGAAAAGTTGATTGTGGAGGTAGAGAGAACAGTGATTCACGATTTCACTCTGCATCAGCCATCTCCAGAATAATCCTGAAACTAGGGAGCAGATGGCAACGCCATCCTGTCAGTTGCTAATTGCGGCAGCTCAGCAGAACCTTAAACCAGGGAGGAAGAAGGGTTTATCTCCAGCTGGCTCCTTGCACCTGGCTGGGGAGATCTTAGCTGTAGCTTCTGGATTGAAACCTGCTCTCCTTTACGATTACAATTCAGTTGGAATAAACAAAATTGAGAACTACCTTCAGCAGATCCAGGGCATCGGCCTGACGAGGCATCGGCTGCACCTTCTAAATATAGCAGACAATGTTCTGATACTCAACCTGGAGAAGACAGCACTGTGGCTGGAAATGCTGTTACTCACAAACAAAGTGCCCTTCATTGATGTTTCAGCTTCTAGGATGTGTCCTGGCCGTTGTGAACCAGAATACGTGGAGCCTATAAAAGGCCACATTGCTGAAATACTGGCTCATGTTAAAACACTGCCAAGTATCACATCTCAGGCCGTCACTACCAGTGAGATCTTCTCTGCTGATTGGAATCTATGCACCATCTTTGGTGTTCTCCTGGGCTACCCAGCTTCCTATACTTTCACTGCCGAGGAGGGGTTTGACAACTGTTTGTCTCTGACCCCACTGAGAGTTTTTACTGTCCAGGCCTCTTGCTGTAGGATAAGTAAAGATCTCAGAGTCCAAATTTATTCCTTTAGTGTCCCAGAGAACCTGTATCTTGCCATGAAGGAGGGGCTGGATGCATGGAGTGGAAACCTGAAGGACGTATTTAGTGCACAGAATGACTTTGCAAACCTCTGTATCTCAACAGAGGTGGTTTCTCTAGCAGCTGTTGCTTTGTAAATCTAATTTCTTCATTTCTTATCACAGGTTTGGGGGGTGCTAGGCATGAAATCTAGAGGGACACTTAACACTCCCTTATGGACTAAGGTTCCCTCAGGAATAGCTTGAAACCACAGCTCACCCCCACACCTGGAATTTAGGGCCCAAAGCACTGGATGTGAAAGGTGACCATGTTAGATGCTGAATCTGTACTCGCCATGTCACTGGTACATGGAACACTTGCCTTTCCTGGAAGTGCACTTTGTGGATTCAGGCACCGACAGCTGGGTTGCAGGCAGTTCATGCAGGGTGGATCCCAGTTGTAGGGTGTTCAACTCCTAAGGTTTGTCTACACTTATAGCGCTGCTGTAGCACTTAGTGAAGACGCTACCTAGGCCAATGGGAGAGCTGCGTAGGTACTCCACCTTCCTGAGAGGCGGTAGCTACGGCGACAGGAGAAGCCATTCTGCCGACATAGTGCTGTCTGCACCAGAAGTTCAGTCGGTATAGCTATGTTGCTCAGGGGTGGGGATTTTCCACTCCCCTGAGTGATGTCATTATACCAACATCAGTTCATAGTGTGGACCAGGGCCTAGTAACCTGACTCTGATGGCACAATTGAACTCTGCCTTCCACATAGGCCTGTGGTAATTCCATCCCCTGCCCTACCACATCAACAGCAGCTCCTAATAGCAGTTTGACTAGAAGAATGAGCACAGTGACAGGAGTCAAGAAGCCATGGGTTCTAATCTCATTTTTTCCTCTGGCTGCATTTGGGCAAGTGATTTCTCCCCATATGTGCCTTAGTTTCCACATCTGCAAAATGGGGATATTTACCTCTCAGAACTAGTGTGAGGATTAAAAAGGGGTCCATATTTGTATCGTGCTTGGAACGTGTAAAGTTTGATAAATATTACTACTTAATGCCCATGTTATCTAGTGTAACGCGTCTACTATAGACCCTGCTTGTGCTAACAGCACAAATGTGTGTTTGCATTAAAGATACATACTGTTGTCAAAGCAATAGAACTCAGCTGTTAAAGGAATTTCAGTAAGTACCGGGCATTGACTTGGATTAACGCGGTATTGACATTTCACAATTTTTCTCTCCACACTTAATTAAAATATCAGCAACCTCTAGTGCTTTGTATGGATTGGAGGGGGGCAGGGAGGTGGAGAGGAAGAGGCTACAGTAATCAAGTAGGAGGTGACAAGGACCTGGACAAGAGCTGAGGTAGTCTAGGCAGAAAGCGAAGGGGTTGGGGGCAGGGTTTTGTGTCTCCTACTGAGTTCTGTCCTCGAGCTGATGCTATGCAATAAAACGTACGGTTGCTGCAGCAGACACACTGAACCTTTTCTCATGTAACCTGCAATTAAAAATTAAACCAAGCAACAGGAATGATCTCATGGCATTTATTGGACCAGGGTGAATTTGTTGAGGAGTGAGACCAGCTCAAAAATATCCCCCCAAAAACCCTACAAAATTTTTATACATTACAGTGAAGAAAGTTGAGTCAGTTGCTGAGCTGAGGTAATTGAAACGGACAGATTCTCAGGGTACAAAATTGGCTAAGAAAGCCGCCATGGCTGCTGCTATCACCACCAGTAGGAGAGGGATCCAGTGGCCACGTTGTCCCTGAAAGAGAGAATTAAATGTGTTGAGTGAATCAGTACACAACCAAAGGAAATTTTTAATTTAACATTCGGTGTAAAGACACAGGCGCTATCCTTCCTCCATTGCCCAGATGACATGACAAACCTCACCACCTTCTGCTCCAAGTGCAATGTGTTTCTTTGACTTTGCTTTCTCTAATATAAACACATAATGTGTATTTAAAAGAAAGACAAATCCTACCAAAACAAGACACGCCCATGGATCTGCTGCTCCTGGGGAGAGAAAGGAACCAACTTGACAGATGTGTAGTCATGTTGCTTAAAGCACTATTGGAAGGGGCTCAGACTGTACAGTGATGCGTGCAGTGTAAGAACCTGAGTGGAACAGAACTGAGAAACAACCATCCCACCCCACCCCACCCCAGCGTGGGGCCTGCAAAGGTATCAAACTGCTCAGGATGTTTGCAGTGGGTAACAGTGGACACAGTAAAAGCGAACTCCTACTTTTGACTGTTTGCTCTGGAACTGATTGAGCTCATCTCGGCACTGACGTAACTTGGTCATGCAGGAGCGGTACTCATCGCTCAGGGCCTCCAGCTCAGAGCGGAGATCTGCGCACTGGAAACAAAGCAGACAAGTGTTAGGAAATGGCCCACGTGTACCAAGAATTTGGCAGGTCTCGGTGAAGGTCTCAGTGCAACAGAGCCCATGTAGTGGAGAGTGATCTTCCCTCCCCCCCCCTAGTATTGTGACATCTAGGGCAGGACAGCAGTTTATTGTTAAGAGGAGCCCAAGGGAAGCACACGCTGCCTCTGTCTGCATATTACCTCTCCCGGGGTCTTTAGCCTATAGTGCTAGTATGCTGGCACCTTTCAGCAGCACTCAAGTCATGTGAGACAAAAATGTAATATTTTCCCCCACCAAAACATAATATACTTAATCCCATCCTAGTGCCTATGACAGCAGAAGAGAAAGTCCCCAGGCATGCAACTGGCTCCTTATAGGTAAACCCCTTGCCCCCATGCAGAGCTTTACCGGCTGGAAGGTAGGAACAAAATCAGTAGGACTGAGTAAGAAGTGGGAGGGAAGGGAAAGGCATCACACAGGAACAGCCCCTTCCCCCAAAACACATCTTCCTCTGTGCCTGACTGGTCATTATTAGCTCTCTCCAAAACTTTTTTCCTCCCCAGCATGCCTTGGGGGAGTGACCCTTTAAATTGGGCAGTGTCAAACAGCTGCAGCCCTAAGATGGCTGTTTTGGAATGGGCTGCTGCTGACTGCATCTCGCTTTCTTCCAGCAGGTGAGAGTGGCTGTTATATTTTTCCTTTTCATTTTGGGGAGGGGAAGTTGTGCTTTCAGCAGCTCCCCCAAAGCACTAAGGTTCTGGCCGTGGCTGGGGGGCACTGTTATTACCTATGGAGACCTCCTAGTGTTTGTGCGTATTCTGTGTTAGTTGCATTGATGTTTGTGGCAATGCATAGCAGGTCAGGTGTGCCTAGGGCTGGTCAGATTGTTTTGAGGCCGCATTGTATGAGGAGTCCATGGTCTATGCAAGGTGCACTGCAAGTTTCCTGATGGTGCACAATACTGTATGTAATGTAGCCCTGTAAAAGCTGTTGGCAAAGGAAGAACTTTGTGTGTTCTAGCCAGTTCCTGCTCTCACCTGTTTCCTTTAGATTTAATGGTATTTTGCACTCTCCCTGCCCCCAGCTGATTTAGATCCAATTTGCAATGTCTGGTGCTTGTAGTCATTGAAGGAGACCATGTGAGTTCAGTAAGACACTTTGAGCCCTAAAGGTAACTCTGAGTTCCATCGGCCACAGAGAAGGGTAAATGCCTATTTGATAAATTCCTGTGTATAAGTCCCTTGGTGTCTAGGTATTTTATAGGCACTATATTAGACAGTCAATAAAGAAAGAAAAAGCCTCACCTCTCCCTCCCCACCCAAACAACTCCTCCCAAGGGTGTGGGCCTGATTAGGACATAAAGAAATAGGGGAAGAGAGATTAAAGCAGAGCAATTAAATTCCCCAGAGCCACAATTCCCCAGGCCTCATTTTAATTGTCTGATCCTTTACCTTCCAAGTACTGGAGCCACAGGTGTGTTTGGGATGAGCAGCGTGTAACTGCCCCACTGGCAGCTGCCAGGGGCTTCTGAGTGCAGAGGACAGACTGGCAGAACATCTGTGTGGTTCTGGGGGAGCCCGCTGAGACGATAACTGTGAGGGGTAGGTGTGTGCTCCCCGTAACAGCGCTCCCCTAGGGGTATCTAGCATCAGTGGCATTGCTAACACATGCTTGTGCTTAGGAAACGCTAATTCTAGGGGTCTACCTGTCCCCCACCCGGGTGCATACAGGTCCCTTGTACCCTCTCTGCTCCCTGAACCCCAACCACTCTGTCTCTGTGTCTGCTCCCTGTGGCGCTGCCCTGTGCGTGTGCTGTCATGTGGTGAGCCCCGTGCGGGAGGGACTTGTCGTCCAGCACTGCTCCTGCATCCCACAGCTCTGTGTGCACTTAATTTTAAAATGTGCCTTTGGGTATTTTCTCTTTACTGATTCCCTTTGGTGAATATAAACTGTGTTTCTATCTTTCTCTTCTTTGCTCCAGGAGGTAACAGCGTCAAAGGAGCTGGCTTGGCGGGAGGGGCAGGGAAGTCAATGGTCTGGGAAGATGGGTACCAATGTTATGTTTTATTTTGATAGCCCTGAGCTCCTCTATGTACAAGATTGACCTGCAGTATTTAACTCGCATGCCAACATACATTTCAGCTTCTGCATGGGAAGGTTTTATTCGGGGTATGAAATATTTTGTGACTTTAAGGCTATCTGTATAAAGGGCTTGCTTCGAGGTCACTGCATGACTATTCTTCCACCTGGAAGTACTTAGAGGAAACCCAACGGGGGGTTTAGTTGAGGTCAGACTCAAAATGTAGTGACCGTGAGTCTCCAGTTACAGAATTAGATACTATTTGTATGGTTATTCCTAAAAATCATCACACACCATTTTTATTTCTGCCTTGGAAGCCTTTAAAAATAGCAATTAATCTCCTAATGAGAACACTGAATCTCATTAACGGATTGTATCACCTCCTCACCTCCTTTTCCTTTGCAATGAGCTGGGCTGTCCTCTTTTGCACCTGGTCCTTCAGATTTTCCTCTCCCTCATGGTCAGGATGCTTTAACAAAGCATCTTGTCTTTCTCTGACTGGACTGGGGGGTTGGAGCTGCATAGTTAAAACCTGATCTAAAAAAACAGCCAGACTTCCAATGAGAAATGAGTCCAGGCTTTTGGTCAGCCTCTTCATTGTTCTACAAGTTGATTATCTTTAACTTTGTACACTTAAACATGTATTCAGCTGCTGGAAATGAATGCAGGACATGGCTTAGTTGTCTTACTGCTCGGTTGTGCATATGAGTTAGAAATATTTATTTTTAAAACAATTATTAGGTGTTTGATAGTAGTCTGGCAAAGTAAGCTACCTTTGGTGGGGAGGGGGGTCAAAACTCCCCAGTCTTTGATGATGATTTTCTTGGTGTGCAGGGGTAGCTGAAATTGGAGATGTGGCATATCAAGTAAACAATGACTGGCATGGCCTCTGAAGCAGAAGTGTTGAAATCAAATCAATTTATTGTTTAAGGCATTTGCCATCACAGATACATGTATTTGTATATAGTGAGGCTAAATTTTGTATCAATTAGGAATACATAGCAACCTGTTATGAACAGTAGAATTGCTTTACGCTAAACAGATAAATCGATTTCACTAGAAGTTACTGTTTAACCTTTTCATGTGAGGTTAGAAGCATAATGGTTGTCTAGAGTCTGAGTTACAAAGTTTTCTGACCTTTTCTTCCTACCACCTCTTCCTGAGCCTTCTGCTCCTTGGACTGGTTCTGTAACTGGTCTGCAAATAGAATAAGCCACTATTATCACCCAAATTATTTACACAAATCAGTTTCATTCTGGGCATTTCTTCTTTCTCTTCTAATCTGCCCCTTCTCCTATCTCAGCCCTCCTTGTTTGTTTTTAGTTCACTGTAAACTGGTTCTACTGTCAAAAAGAAAAGGAGTACTTGTGGCACCTTAGAGACTAACCAATTTATTTGAGCATGAGCTTTCGTGAGCCACAGCTCACTTCAGTGGTTTGACTCGCTTCATTCATACAATTTCTTGGAAAATTCTGCCACCGGTTATACCCAAGCTACTCTGCTAAAAGCCCAAGGGTTGTATGGCTATCCCCTAAGACAGAAGAGTTAGGTCTGTTGTTGCTGTTATAAAAAAAAATACCCCAACAGATGCTGTGAAGTCTGGACAGATTTATTCTGAAAGGCAAAATCTTATTTGCCTATGATTATTGAAGATAGCATGCCTTCCTTCGCAATGTACAGAGAAGTGCAACAGTACCTGTCAGCAACTTCACTGGCTCCCCCACTCAGTTCAGGACCCAGTACAAAATGATTCTCCATGTCCAAGATTTTTAAATGACGTGATTTGGGGCAATCAAGCTGAGAGATCTTAAAGAGAGCAGATTTTCAAGAGGCAGGTGCCAAGCACTGTCTGAAAATCAAACCTCTTTAAGGCATCTCAGGTTGTGCACCCAAGAAGTCAGGCTGTCAGAGTGACTAGTCACTTTTGAAAATCCAGGTCCTTGTATTTTAAATGCTCGGTGGTCTTTCTCCAGCCACTGCTATCTGCGTGTGTCACGCCTCATCCTTCTACCCTTCTCTCTAGCCCCAGTGTCCTGTTAACAGTATCCAGATTGTGTTAACGTGAGAGCCGTCTCCTCTGACTCTCCTGTTGTCTGAAACAGCTTCCCTTTTGCCCACTCCACTGTATCTCCATCTCTTTTCCAGTGTCTGGTGAAAACAGTCTCCTCTGCCCTCTCCTGTTGTACTTTTTCTCCCTCTGCTAATATTTAACTCTAAGACAATCTGGGATAAAGTCTGTGTCAAAGACACACTGTAAAATGAGGTTGTGTTGTGCTAATAATGATCAATGCCAAGTGCTGGTGATGTGCCTAGTGGAGATGAGCAGGCTATGGGGGGGGGGGAGGGGGAGGGGGGGGTGTCTTTCATGCCCTCCCTCCCTCCAGATCCCTGGATTTTCTGTTTGCAGAATCAATCAGCTGAGACCTTCTGATAACCTGGTCACCTTTAGAGCCAATCACAGTTGCTCTGGGTGATGGGTAAACCTGCTTTTATATAACGAATAGGAAAGACAATCCCATCAGTCTCTCATAATGACAGGTTTCAGAGTAGCAGCCGTGTTAGTCTGTATTTGCAAAAAGAAAAGGAGTACTTGTGGCACCTTAGAGACTAACCAATTTATTTGAGCATGAGCTTTCGTGAGCTACAGCTCACTTCATCAGATGCATTTTTCCACTACAGCTCACGACAGCTTATGCTCAAATAAATGTGTTCGTCTCTAAGGTGCCACAAGTCCTCCTTTTCCATCAGTCTTTGTGCAGGGGAGTTTATCCATGAATGGAGAAGAATAGATGTAACTGGAGAAGGCTCTTGCATTTCCCTGTAAGGCGCATTTCACAGAGCAGTGGGCCTGACTCTTATCTTATCCATGTAAGCCAGGGTTCATGAGCTCACTGGGGTTAAACTGCAAAGGCAGCGTCAGACTTAATGCATTTTAAAAATGCAGGCCTGTGCCCTGCAGTGCTACTTACTGCGCAAACAAGTGATTGTCGCCTCCAGCGCCAGCTTTTGCTTTTGTTCATTTTGCAATTTACCTGAAATTAACAAATTAATTATTAGAAGTCAGGGATGACAAAAAATCTCTGAGGAAATCTCTGCAAGTGCTGCAGGTTTCCTTCTCTCCAAATTTGTACAACTTCTGTACAGTGGAATGAAAGGTGTTGAGAGCCTTCATGAGCTAATGTTTTTCCTTAAGACTCCAGCGATTTCCTGTTAATCACACATGCCCAAATAAATGCTGTTTAACCAGTGAAGGCAGCTTTACTGGTGCTCTTTATACTCTATTAATAATGCTGTCTGTTCTGGTTTTAGTTTAAATGACGGTTTGCAAGACTTAAATCCATTAGGTAGATACGGCTGCCATTAGTTTATCGGTCGTTAATTTTATTTGCTACACTTAAAATAGCCACATTAATAGTAACTGAATTTCAGGGCCCCTGTCTGAACTGCCACTTGCCAATATGATTAGCATTTATTTATGGCCTCATCATGCCCATCACTGTTCCCATGCAGCTCAAATGTTAAAGAATTTGTCAACAACCATGTGAGGTGGGTTAGTAATATCCCCATTTCACAGGTAGGGAAACTGAAGCACAAAGATGCAGTGACTTGCTCTAGACTAGAGCACACAGAGGGCCTGTGACAGAGCTGGGGATTCAACCCAGAGCTTTTGGCTCCCAGACCACCCTTTCTTTTGGAAAAGTCACTTGACCTCCTTCTAACTCAGTCACCCTAGGTAGAGAAAATTGGATAAAACTTAATCTAGGATCCCTACTGGAAACCAGAGTAGTCTTCCAAGCCTAGATGTTCAAAGTGCTTAAAGGAAGGTATTTTTTTATGTTGGGCTTTAACAACTGGGATTTTTAAAAAACGTATTTCCTGAAGGTAACCTGTTGGGGAGAAACCTTTGCCATTACTCATCCTGCTCTTCCCTTAGCAAAGTCGGTACCTTCCATTGCACTGATGTGCTCCATTCTGAGCTGGCTGTCTTCTTGTAGAGCCTCGAGTCTCAAATTGAGATCTTCCCGCTCACTCTCCAAGTTATGCAGGGCCTGGTGGAGCTGCTCATTCTGGGTGTCTGCCCACTACATTCAGGAAAGAACCTCAGCATCAGGGCATTGGTTATAGAAGTTATACTTAACAATTCAAAGGATACACAATGTGGGCCTGGCCGTCAGAAGTCAAAGTGAGCTGTGAGTGCTCAACAACTCTGAAAATCTGTTCCTGTCTGACTTGTAAATAATAACACAGCATTGTTTAACCAAGAAATTAAAGGCCTTGTTTTCAAATTGGCCTGAATCGCTGGCCTGCATAGTTGTATGCTGAAGTTTTTGCACACCTAGAAACATGTGTTTCACTGTGTAATTGATTCCACTTGGCCTACAATTGCAATGCAGCCTCTTCTGAAGTGGAGTATGGTGGCTATTTAACAGTATGGAGAAATGCCACACAAAAGAATTCTCTGTGCAACTCAGTCTCAAGGGGAATTCAGTTATTTGAACTCCATGGCTGGGACATCAGGGTTACAGTCATATGGAGCAGATGACATTACATAGAAATGTAATGAGTTTATAGACATTTTAAACAAAGTTGCAGCCTGGGGAAAATCTTATAATCACCTAAATACTGTAATTTAGAAGAGGATACAGATAAAACCTCTGCCACAGTGGAGTTGTGTTTGAATTTAACCCATTCGTGATCATACATCCGTGGTCTCTGACAGCCTGACCAGAGCAGCAGAGGCAACAAGACAACCATACGGCAGAGAACGAACTTACTTGCAGTTGGTTCTGCAAAACACAGAGCTTGTTCTCTAGTTCAGTGTGCTTAGTGGCTGTCTTACTCCACTCTGCTTCTAATGTGTCATAGTGTTCTTTCCAGAGAGCACAGTCGTCTTCAGTGACTGCCAGGGTCCTCTGAAGAACAAAACAACACCCAAGACTCAACGTTGTTAGCTGAGGACTGATCTACACACCACGTTGCTGCACTGTGTGATTTTATACTGGTTTAGTTAAAATGCTGCAGCTCTTGTATCTGTTTAATGCCGGCTTTTATCTTGCACCTATACATTTACAAGCACAAGCTCATCTGATAGAACCAGTGATGAACTCAACCCAGGCGCCCCGCCTTTAAAGATTCCCCATTCCCCTCATTGAAATGAATACAGCGCATCAAAATCCAAGCATGGAGAATCAGAAATCAGATTTTTGGTGTCATCTGTGAAGATTCCAGTCTGTGTAATGTGCTGAACTATGACACAGCCCCCCGCCCTGCCGCTCCACACACATGAATGTGTAGGGTTTGCTCTTTCAAGATCATACTCTGACAGCGCTGTCTCGAACACCTCTGGGAAATGCAGGGGCGAAGTAAGTTCTGTGCATTTGTAATATAACATGATGGCATTGCCCTGTTTTTGTGTAGTGAAGTAGCATAGAGACATATTAGAATACGGTGCTGCCTGATGGGGAGGGGAGAGAAACAAGCAGGAGCTTTTCACTCTGGAAGTTAAAGGTCCATATGACTGTACATACAAGAGGAGTGTTTAGTATAACTACCATGAGTTTGACATAGGGGATTACCCGAACTCTTGTGTGTTTCTGTACGTTTAAAACAGATTGTTTCTGTGCTGCTTTGTCGTCGTGTTTTGTTTTTCGGTGTTGAAAATGTTAATTTGTTCCCTGGCCCAGTGGACAAATGTGGCACAGGAGAACTCTCCTGGTGACGTTATTTGTTAGGATTTTGGTCTCAAAAAAGCGACACCAAAGGGCACCCATCCAGAGCTCTGGGTGCTCTGGATGTACATTTAAAAACCACAATAACATTGAGATTACAAACCATGAAGCTACCGAAAGCAGCAGCATTTCTCCTTCCCACCAGGTTATTTAATCACCCATCATTTGGCTCAGACAACTTAAATAACACCCCCCACGCACACACGCACCCAAACTTCTTATGAGACATTGTATTGTTAAGTATGGGGCTAGAGGTTAGGGGGACAACCACTTTAGCCTTCGTTCAGTAGTTAAAATATATTATTTTGCACAGTTGTTGAAGATGGTAAAAGGCAAAATCCTCTTCTCACTAAAGCCAAGGGGTTTGGGTCAGTGATGTCACTGGGAGCAGGATTGGGCCCAAACGTGATTGAACTGGCGGTGTGATTATACTTTTCATCAGCCTGAAAACGGGCCTGTCCCTCTCGCTCGGACGTCTGCTGTGGGATTCATGTTCCTCACCTGAGCGCTCTGTAGCTGCTGTTCTGCTTGGAGTTTCTCCTCCAGCAGCTTCTGCAGAGCTTCTCTTGCTTTCTGCTCGTAGGTCTGCTTTTGGTCCTCCATCTCCATCAGGATCCTCTTCACGTTGTCCTTTGAGTAATGCTTTAAAGAGACAACTGAACTGACAGTTGATTCAAATATTACCAATGGACTTTTAACCCACTGGTGAGAGACAAGCCTAGAAATTCAAAAAGATCCACCAGGTTCCAGTTCAGGATTGCTCTCTCTCTAATACATTCTCCACGGCTTTGTCATGATTCAGTTTTAAATGTCTCAAACACCGCTACCCTTGATGGGCTACTCCCCAGTCTGAGAGATCTCACTGGATCTGAGTATTAGCACGTACATGGATAAACGTATCAAGCTGCAGCAAACAACATAACAGTTTTTTGACCCTATTTAATAACAGCCTTCTGGAAAGTAAGACCTGACCTAATTAAATTGTTCTGTGTTTTTACTTGCATGCAAAGTTTTTCTTTCTATCTATTCTCTTTGCTTTTTTGAAAAAGTCACATACGTTACCTGGGCACAGGTGTGAAGCTGATTTTCAAGGGCCCTCAGTTTACCCTTTAGTTTGTCTTCATTCAGCTGACCCTGGAAGAAATAATTGAGGCAAGGTCTGGAATACTGAATTACACAACAACCTCTGCAGTTTTCTAAGTGAATCCATCATACTTTTGCTCACTCATGTTTCTGATTTTTCTTCTGCTCCTAGTGTCATACCCAGGGCTGGCCCAAATTATTTTCAAAGTTTAAAGTTTCAAAATTTCAAAAAAAAGTGGGAAAAATTTAGAATTTCAAAGTTTTGAAAAAAGGAAAAAAAATGAAACACTTGCAGTTCTTCCTCCCTCCCCTTTTTTCCCCCTAACCAGCTCTATCAATTATAGGAATGCAGGAGCGCTCAGAAAAGTTAAAGGCAAAGGAGACATATAGTTACTCTGGATGATTTGCTGAGTACTGTCTGTACTGAGAGCAGAACTGCCCTCCAGCCCACACACACAGCCTTGCTTTCTGCTTCATGATTCTCTCTTGCAACAACATTTTGGCTTACAGCTCCAGTGGGTGGCAGCATCTTGTCTCGTCAGCTTCCATAGGAAACAGATTGGGTTTGCATCACAATGAGCTTTGTTGGGGGTGGAGAGAGGAATGGGGAAACTGAGTCATCATATTTTTTTCCCAGTGTTGGTCAGGTTTTCTAGTTGGGTTTGTAAGATGCAGGCTCTATGCAAATCCAGGCAAGGCTTCTAGCAAAGTGCTTGTCTGGACTCTCGTCTTCCACCTCTGATCTGAAGGATGTCAGCACCACTGCCACTCACTATTGTGCGAAGCCACGCTTAACATCCATTGGGTTATTATTTAATATTCATATCATGGGAGCATCCAGAGGCCCCAAGCAAAATCAGAGCCCTGGTGTGCTGGGCACTCTGTCAACACACAGATGTTTGCACATCCCAGCCCCAAAAGTGTAAAGTCCAATAAATCTAGCTGTCAGTTCCCATAACAAACTGGAGGCCAATTGTATTTTTTTTTTAAAAAAAAGAGGGGGGTGGCAATTTTGAGAGATATTTTTAGATGCAAGATATTGGAAGAGACTTCATGCCAGATTCTACTGGCAGTCTTTTTAAGCCTGTGGAAAGTGGATGTAAAGCACTGTCTAGTCAGAGTGGTAGCATTTCTCACCCACTCTATACAGGTGTAAATGAGCATAGAGAGCCCGATGGGAGAATCAGACTTTGTCTTACTTGACAGGGTTTGCTGGTACTAGTAGATTTATACCAGCAAACTCCCTCCTCCTCCAAGTGGAGATGCAGCTTACACCCGCAAGAGCACTTTGGTCCCTGTAACTTAGACCATTTCCCTAAATGGAGTAACTCTACTCTACAAAAGGACTCTTTTACCAGAATAGCTGTGTCTACACTGGGCTTTTGCCAGCACAGCTATGATGGTTACGTGTGGAGAAAAAAATCCCACCCATGACCAACATAGCTGTGGTGGCAAAACTTAAACCTGTTGACCAGGCTCAGGTTGTATTTACCAGCCCAGAAAGGTTTGCTGAGAAGACACCACAATGCCCCCCTTAGCTGTTCATTCTCACAGTTACATTCGGGTTGTTCCTCATGTCTGAGCTCCCTTAAGATGACGGCTCACACTTCTCGCAGATCCCCGCCTCCACAGCCTGAAGGAGGCACAAAAGGGAGCTCAAAGTTAGTCAGAGGCCCAATGTTTGCAAAAGTGGCTGATTTTGGATGCCTCAATCCTTGGGTACCCCGGGGCCTTATTTTCAGAGACTGGATGACCTCAATTCTATGTGGAGTCAATAGAAGCTACGGATGCTTGGTTCTCTGGATCTGAGGTTGGGCTACCAAAAATTGGGACATCTATGGCCAGTGGCCACTCCAAAATACTTGGCTGCAAAATCCTCCCTCAGCTGCATCCATGTTCACAGTGTGTTTTCTGCAGTGTTCTGGCTAGCCCATGATTGGTAGACTGTATCTGATGTTCCCTCCCCCTTTGCTTTTTTTAAACCTGTCATTTTCAATTCCTGGTTTAAAGAAGCAATTTTAAGCATTGTTTTTGGACTGCATTCCCTTTGCTCAAATGCCATGCCAAATAAAAGGGAGAAAAGTGATCCCTGAAAGTGGCAGCGAGGCAGTGGAAACAGTCTTTAAACTACACAGAAAATGTTCCAGACTTCCCAAGGTCAGACAGCATTTTTGGGGATGGGAAAAATATATTCAGGTGGTGTTTTTACACTTTAAAAGACAGGTCTAAAAAGTCATTACTGGTTACTGTAACAACATGAAACTTTGAGCTCTTCAGACGAAAGGAGTTAACTAACTATTTTACAAACAGTATTTACTCTTTACAACAGCCCTGTTGTTATCCTGCTGCTTGCACATGAGGAAACAGAGGCACAGATAGGTTATACGGGTTGCTGAAGGTTGTTGGTGGCAGAGCTGGAAATAAAACCCAGAGGAAATGGAACCCTGCAGTCCTGAATGTAGCCCCTCGGCCCAACTGCTAGATATATTCCTGTTGTACTGATGAACGCATTCATTATATTGGTCTAGATGCACCAACAAATATTAAGTAGGATCCTACAGGGATTCTCAGTGTAATTATGATCAGACCATTGTTGTACAGCATGATCACATTTTTCTTTTCCCTTCAGACTTTCTATTATAGGAGCTATTGATTCTAAAATGCTGCCTCAAGGTTTGGTGCCTCTGAGCATTTTTCCACAGGCCTGTTTTCTTCATCATCTGTGCTAAACTATTCCCAGAGGGCCAATTTCTAAATATCATTTACTTTGTTTTCTCTGTTGGCTACAACCCCAGCAACAAATACATTTTGATTGCCTCATGAAAGGCTAAAAGCAGAGGGAGCAGAGAAATCTATTTTCTATAGCAAAGACATTAAGAAGCAAAGTTCACCCACCTGTTTCTAATCTGAGGTTTCATGGCTACTTCCTGCCAGCGTGTGTGTCAGCGTGTTTTTTCCTGCTCATATTATATTTGTCAGAAGCATTTTACGGAGGAAGTCTCAAACCGCAGTACATCTTAACGCATTTTTTGCTCCATGTCACCCAATCGGTTGGCTCTTCTGCTCTGACAGAACTCTTTCAGATCTTTTTTTTTTTTTTAAGTCTAGTTCCAAATTAACATTTTTTTAACAGCAAATATTTTGCAATGTAACTTGATTTTAAATTTCTGTTTTAAAATTTGCTTTATGACCTAGTCCATAATGGCTTGTACTTCTCAGAAGTAATTGCTTAATGTCACCTCCAGGCTGCTGGTTAAAAATCTACTCTGGGTCAGCTGTATTCAGAAATTGTTACCATCTGATGCCTGTTTGGTGAGCCATGGGAACTAGATTTGGTGGGGTGGAGGCCCTAATTCAGCAGAACACCTAGGGGTGTGTTTGTTTAAGTGTTTTGCTGATTCAGGGCCCTGGGCCCCTGCTGCGGGAAGAGTGTCCATATAACACAAATTGCCGCCGCAGCTGGCTCTAGGTCGTCTCCTGATTGCTTGTCTCAACGGAGCGGCAAAGAAGTGAATAGACTTTAACTTCGAGGGGCTCCCTCTAACGTATATCAAGAATGGATTGAGATATGGTGTGTGGCAGAAGCTTGCGCTGCTGCTGTCTGTGTTGTATCTGTTCTGGTGGATAAACAGATATATTCAGCCTCCAGGATCGTGAGTCTAGCACCTTCACCAGAATGAAATTCTTTCCCACACACAGGTGGTTTAAACTGAGACGCCTGCTCCGTCTGGTTCTGGATTCATTCTTGACACTGTTATTTAGCACCTCATCTTGGCATCTTTTGGCAGGAGAGCGCACAGAAACAAGCTGTTGCAGACCTTACCAAGGCTATCCCTCTTGTTAAAATCCCTCTTTTCCCCCTTTGTTTCTCTGCACAAAATGGGGTGGTTGTTTTTTTAAAAAAAACAATCCGTGTTTTCTCAATTGAAAAATGGCACTTCACTCGAAATGAAAAATTGCGTGAAAAAAATTCATTTTGGCTCAAATCATTTTTGGTCTCCCCTTCCCCACAAAAAATTGAAACAAAAGTTTGTTTCAAAGTGAAAACTTTTTTGGAGGACGGGGGGCAATTAAGATTTTTTTTATGGTCTTTTTCCCCCCCCATGGTCTTAGACTTTTTTCCTACTGGAAAAGGAGGAGAAACAAGAGTGACAGAAAATGGGGGAAAATCCTCAAAACTTTTAAAAAAAGAAACAGGAAGAGAAACATTTTTAGTTCAAAGCTTAATGAAAACTTACGTTTCATCCCAACACTTTTTGTCCAAAAGAATGAAGGGGAAAAAAATGAAAATGTCAAACAAAAAGAACGTTTCCATAACAATGGAGAGGTTTTTTTCAGCTGGCCCTAAAATGAAACAATATTGGAGAGGAAGGGCAATGATAGTCACATGCTAAATAGTTCTGAGCCCAGTCATGTTCCCTTGCAGCCACAGCTCAGCTTCAGAGCTATACCGCCTTCTCCATTAGGAGAGAAGGATCATCCCAGAATGTGTTAGAAGACCAGAAACAGAGCTGGAATTCAGGTGGCAGAAATAAGCAAGACCTGATGGGGTTTTCCCCCTTGCATGCATGGGACTCTGCCCTGGGAGATCCCGGCATAATCCTAAAGCCAACTAGAAGTACGCAGCGTAGCCATTTGGTACCTTCCAAGATTTTTCTGATGCTTGTAGCAATGTGGATAAAAGCTCCTGTAAAATCACCATCTTCTGCTTCAGCAGCAGCTCTCGATGTAACGCCTCCTGTAGGCAAAATGAGAAAGCCAGGCTAATATAGGTGCTCTGAATGCGTCTCAGTGACCCTAGTTCATCTGGACAGCCAGGGGTGACCTGTTTCCCCTCTAGCACTCGTTATAGCTATTTTCACTCCTCACTGTGTTTTGGGAACTTATTCCCTGGGCTTCAGCAGCTGCTCCTTTTGTTTTCCTGGCCACCTTAAAACTAGGTGCATGATACCAGTTTAGTAAAAGCTACCTCTTCACACATACCCTCCACCCATTTCTAGAACTGTATTTATCATTTTTCTGCTTACCTTGAGGTAGTTGGAAAGTTGAATTATTTCCTAAAAGTGAAAGAAAAGCGCAGTAAAACCCAGATTCAGTTTGTCCAAACCTTCTATTTGATGATATTTTTAAACCAATCACTTCCATAAAGGAAAAGATTTTGCAAGTAACTGCAGTCAGTGGTATGAGTTCTAACAAGCATTAAATGGGAACCCTAAGTTATCACATTCTCTGGGCAATGATAATAAGCTATACAGACCTTTACTGTGCTTAGGCTTGTGCAATAATGCAGCTGTTCTGCCATTCACTGGCTAAACCCGAAGTACTAGTAGGTATTTTACCGCACAGTCAGTGCCTTCCCTGGAACAAGACTGTCCCTGTCTACTGCATTAGATGTACCGTCATAGATCTTTTTGTCAGTAAATTAATTTCCAGCAATCTCTGTCATCTACATTCCAATAAGAAATAATCAGGAACAAATCCTGCTTTCATTGACACTGTTAAAACCCCGGAACTGTAGAATTTGGCCCTTTAATGTTAATGTTTCTTAGGACAACAGGATCCTCATAGGCATTTCTGTACAGGTTATTCATATGCTTTGCTTACCTTGTCTAATACTGCTATTCCACAGCTAAAATAAAAAAAAGACAAGGATTTTCTTAAGATGGACATGAGACAGATTTATGAAAAAGATCACAAGAATGGGTGCACTGAAAATACTTGCTAGGGAGAGAAGCAATCCTATGACGATTCATAGAACAATAAATAATGCCAATAATAATAATTCTTTGCACTTGTATAGCACCTTTTATCTAAGTACGTCAAAGTGCCTTTACAGGTATCAGTGAATCCCCAGCCCTTGCAGAAGCAGGAAGAATGTGCTCCTAATAGGATAGATAACAAAATACTTACTCTGTTTGTTGGCTTGAGTCTTTCTTTATTGCACTAGAATCTGTTAATGTCTGAGTGCCTGTTAAGATAAAATTGAGAGGGTGGTATACTGGTTCCTACAGTGTCAGCAGATAGCTAGTATAAAATCCCTCATTCACAGCTGCACCTTTCCTTCTGAAGACTCATAAAGTACTTTACCAACTGTATATAGGGATTATTTCAACCATCACTGAAATGCAACCATTGCTGGGATGACACATGGTAGTTTAAACTGCACACAGCAGCATAACACAACAATTTAGGGCAGAAGGCGAAGAAGAATCTTGTATGCAGCTGAAAATGCAAGTGGAATTTAGGTCATTAACCTAAGTTAAAGTTTGGCCAAGCTACTGGCAAACACACCTATTTCTGAGAAAAGCGCCATGGAGTTTTTAATGATCACAAGTGTTCAGAGCCTCCATTTTACATCTGTATGGGATGATGGCTTCCTCTGCAGCACAGTGCCATTTTGCAGCAGGCTGGGGCAGTGAGGTCATTTTTGACTCAGCACAAAGAATAGCACTTGGTGAATCAACATATTCTTATCATGCACAGTTAGGAAAGGGGAAAATGTCAGATTTGGCTGATACAGAACATCCTCCTTAAACACTTGAACAGGGCTTCTAGGAACAGGAACTCTTTTGGCATGTGTTAGGATTGTGTCTGATCCTGCTCCCATACCATTCACAGGTAAAACACCCATTGATTTCAGAGGTGCAGGTTCCAGTACATTGTGATGTGGCACCTGGGGGGATTTTTTATCATTACAGACCCTCTTTCTCTGCCTGCTTTGGGAGTCCAAAGCAAAATAATCCATGTGATTCCCTTGAACCTCAGAGGTTTAAATAAGATGTAGCCCCCAGATCCCAGTAAGCTTGAGTTCCTTTTTTCAAAACCTAAGCCTCATTTAGCCAGTTGTCTTGTACCTCGGCTGGTCTTGGAGATGTCTTTGGGGAGGATGTTTGGTGATGAAACGCCACAGGAGTGCCAGTTGTTCTGCGTGCGAGGATCGTTGAGACTGTGCTGGAGATGCTTGTGATGGACCACGGAGGTGCTGTTATTCTGAAATGAAATGAGAGTTTAATTTTTATAATGGCCTATTAAAAACCAGGAGAGAAAAGGGGAAGCAACTAACCCAATGGCATGTTGTCACTTGGAATGGTACACATTGTGCCACTGACCTGGGCAATAACATGGGTGGAGACTGAGGGTTACAATGAGATTGGGTTCAAGGCCTAATTTTTCAGAAGGTGCTGAGCACCCCCAATTCCCACTGGAGTCAGTGCAAGGTGTAGCCGCTCAGCAACACTGACAGGGGCAGTGGGGGAACTGCTACCTGCAGGTAGACTGGGAAGCTGCAGGGAAAGAGAGTGCCTCTGAGAGGCCAGGAGGCCGATTGCTTCACTAACCACACCGAGTGTAAGAAAAGAGCTTTTGAGGCCTTGAGTTAGTTCCTGGCTAGCATTGCTGCTAGCAGCTGGCAAGCTGTAGGCTTAGATATTTGTTCTGCACTCATCAGAGTTATATCTGAGTGCCTATTCAGGATCTCTGGTAGTAAGAGCATGAACTCTTTTTTTTTTCCCCTTACTTCTGCTCCTCAGAGCCCCCTGCAGGTGCTAGGATGAGAACGGTTCTGCAGCCAACGTTACAGGCACATGGGCTGCAAGCATGTGAACGCCTGCCCCAAGATCTTGCTGTCTGGCTTGTAATTAAACCCAGCGATCAAAAGAAGTAAACAGTAGCATGAGGTAAATAATTGTCCTCCACGCTCATGCCTTGTAGAGGAGCCCCCAGGGCATGTCTGTGCTTTTATTTTATTGCCCTTGGTTGTTCATTTCAATTAAAAGCCCCTTGGATAACTTTACTTAGGTACAAAAACAGATGGGGGAATTATTTCATTTAAAAGGCTGTGAGTTTAGAAGGTACAATCTGATTGTTTTACTGGAACATTTATGTATGATCTTAATCTGGTTTTATTAAATGCATTGGCTCATCTGGTTCACTGCTGGCTGCATATAACATCGGTAGGCTTGGCAGAGTCATTTTGATTTTTATCAATTTAATTTTTCAAAGTTGAGAGATATTATGGGACGGTCAACATTACTTGTCAAAATATACGAAGTAAATATCCTTAAATCAAACTCCAATAAGTTCTCAAACAGCATTTTGGAAACTTTGCCTATCTGTAAATTTTGGTTATTATGATGAAAATACTGATTGGTTGTATATTTAGGGTGATATCACCGTTTAACAATGTTTACTGATAAAAAATCTGATACTTCCAAGCCTAAACGCAGGATAATTTACAGTTTGTAAGAAGGATGCTGAAATTAGGATACAATCAGACACTCATTACTAACTCAACATGAGAAAATTCCTGCCACTAAAGATGCTGGCGGGAAGACATGCTTCCATAGATTCGTCCCAAGAAAGCTAACTGTTTATGATGGTCATCGTCTCAGATCTTTTAACGAGAATGAGAGGCAATTTGCACAAGAGGAAAACAATTATTTTTTTTTTTTTTTTACCAAAATGCAGGTTTGAATGACAAGAAATGGCTGCAAATCTCCATCTGGGTCAAAGTTCAGTATTTAGAAAGTAGGAGAGGAACACAATGAGAGTGATGGGACAAAATCTTGCCCTGGATCAAGTCTGTGAATTGTCAAGAAAATATCCATTTGCCGTCAAATATTTAGGCCCTGATCCCAAACCTCTTGTAGTCAATGGAAAGACTCCCATTGATTCCAGTGGACATTGGATAAGGCCCATAGTAGGTAGCCAACCATTTACGAAAAGTATGACTGTCATAGCTGCAGCTGTTACCTGGAGGGATGTGGGTGACCTCAGATCCATCCAGGAAGATGCTTCCTTGCGGGTGCCTGTTGCACACTCTTGTCCTGGAGTTGCTGGTGTCCCAGTAGGAAACCTTACTTGTTTCTTTCCTTCTTCGGTGGCTAAGTTCCTTCTCTTCAGGAACTCTTTCTGGCGGGGGCTCTGGGACTGCTCCTCTGCTTCCTTTTTCCGACATTGCATCACACGGCGACATGTGGTGACGTTGTTTCTCCTCCACAAGTTCTCACGGGTCTCGTGCCGGCGCTCGCACTTCTCGTCGTAACTCTCGCTCAGACGCCTGCACCGGCGCGGGGACTTTTCAGTTTGACTGATCATATTGTCCACAACCGCACAGACAACACACCAACCTGTGATGATCTTCTGGCTGCTTTGGTGAAGTCCTTTCCTAATGAAACCAAAGGGGGGGGGGGAAGAGACAAGTGAAACAAAGGATCAGGCTGGAGGCTGAATAAATGTTTGAGAGACACCAACTCTAGGAATATTCTCCTTATTCAGTGAATGCAGGTGGCATCTTTGTAGGGCTATGAAATCACAGACATTAGTGGTAAACACTCATTATGTCCCATCTTCTCCATCTCCCTACCCCCAGCCATAGATAAATATATACACACACGCTTGGAGCTAATACATGATTGCTCCTTGAGGAAGATTTTCCAGTGCTTTATCCAGTTCAGTTTCAATCATGTTCTAAGTGATGAAGCTTCTACCATCTTCCTTGGGAGATTTATTCTGCAGTCTTAGATCTTGCCATTATCAAATACCACCTGCTGTTCAGACTAAATTTTCTTTTGCTCAGTTTCAGCCTCCTGCTCCTAGTTATAAGCCCTTGGCCCACCTAAAAAAGTAAGACTGAAGTAAGAATAATGGCTCCTGGAATTTCCGTAGTAGTGGCCTTGCATTCCTTTCCTGCATACATATATTTTTCCAGTCTGTTCCAAAAGATTAACTGTAGATGTAGGAGATTTGCTATTATATAATTTACTTTTCATGCAGCTGCATGTATTTCTAAATCCTGTTTGTCTTCTGTGCATGCCCAGAGAGGTCTAGCAGGTGTTACCACACTGCATGGGTTTTTCTATAGAATCTTTGGAAAAAGATTGTTTCTGTCTTATCAGTTTTAAGAGCTTCTACTACCTGAAGATAATGGTCACCCTAATGTTGAGTGCTGCATTCTTTTAGCTCCTCTTCCTTAACACTCATCTTCTGCAATAGCTTGACTTAAATGGTACATTCCAGTTTGCACTCTGAACGTTTTTCTTTCCTTCTCCTCACAAAAACCTGGCTGGCTGTAATGCCATGTCCTTAATTCTCCTGGCTAGTGGCACTGCTTCCTGTCCTCCTCTGTTGTAAATATTAAATACCTGTACATTAATGTTTACACTTGTTAGAAACGTTGTTGGACTCAAGATGAGGGGAGAGCAAGCAGGAGAGCTGAATGGCACTGCTCAGCCCAGTGGGCTTGCCTCCACTTCTGTTTGTTTATAGCTCAAGCAAAGCAGGTAGGTTGCACCAGAGGCCTGCCCTAAGAATGAGCTCCTTTGTTTGGGCATTACCTCCCTACACTGTGTACATGTAGGGTGACCAGATGTCCCGATTTTATAGGGACAGTCCTGATTTTTGGGTCTTTTTCTTATATAGGCTCCTATAACCCCCGTCCCAATTTTTCACACTTGCTGTCTGGTCACCCTATGTACATGTGCAGAGTGAATGATAATCCCTTCCCTCCACTTCCTCCTACAGAATTCTCTGCTCCACTTGCAAGCTTCCCTCTTGCTTGCTTTACTAGACTGTGGCCACATGGAAGGTGTTTGGGTCTTCTCCTCTCCACCAGTGAGGGAGAAAACAGAATACAACATGACACACATTGACAAAATCCCTAAACATTACATTTCCCCTCCTACCCCTCCTTATTAGCCAGCACAGGGATTTCCTGCTCCTTGATCCAGATGGATAATCCTCATGCACATTCCAGAAATGTTGCTGGGAGGATCATGTGAGCATGCTAGGCATTCTGCTGAGCACTTTGGGATTGGATTAGTGCTCCAGTAGTGGGAGTAAAGAAATACTTGACTCTCTTGCCTGCCAGCCCAAGTGCACATTTTATTCTCTTTTTGGCCTATTGTGTTTGGACGGTGAGATTCTCTGTTAGTTATTATTGATCATATTTATTATGCAGGGCCAAAGGGCCAGCCAAGAATGGGGTCCCATTGTGCTAAGCATGGCATAAACCCCGAGTAGCAGGTTCAGCATGGGGGAAGGGGTAGAACACACAAGCAAAGTCAACAATGTGATGGCAGTGATGTGGGGGGAGGTATTAGTTAGGAGGTGATCAGCTAAACGGGAAGGGAAGGGTGAGGGAGACAGGGCAGAGGAGGAAGAGGGCAAGCGGACAGTGAAGCTAAGGTGAAGAGTCCAAGGGAGGTGGAGGGTTGGAACAAACAGCCAGTCAGCACAAGGAAAAGCTCTGGAAAAATGTCCCGAGGTCCCTGCTGTGGCCGATTCTGCAGCTGCTCCTATGGCTGGTTCCTCCCTGCAGTTTCTCCCCAAGGACACACAGCTGGTGGAGTGCAGGGGGTGGAGAGCACCACCTGGGTCCCCACACAGTGTGTGATGGAGAGGTCTCCCCTGCATGGTTCTGGGTGTTGGGGAGAGGAGTATTACACTGCAGCCCTGGGATGGAATATCCATTTTATTTTGACCAGCTAACAGGATCCAAACCAAGTATTTTTTCACGCAACGCACTGTCAATCTCTGGAACTCCTTGCCAGAGGATGTTGTGAAGGCCAATACTATAACGGGGTTCAAAAGGGAGCTAGATAGATTCATGGAAGATAGGTCCATCAATGGCTATTAGCCAGGATGGGCAAGGATGGTGTCCTTAGCCTCTGTTTGCCAGAAGCTGGGATTGGGTGACAGGGCATGGATCACTGGATGAAAACCTATCTGTTCATTCCCTTTGGGGCACCTGCCATTGGCCACTGTCAGAGGACAGGATACTGGGCTTGACGGATCTTTGGTCTGACCCAGAGTGGCCATTCTTATGTTCTTAAGGACCTGGTTCTCTTTTCACTCACCGTGGTTTTATCTCCGTTGACTCCAGTGAAGTTACTATGGATTGATACAGGAACAGATGAAAGAAAGAAGCAAATTCCCATCTCCAGATTTTCAAAATTGCTCAGAGCCAGCAGCTCCCATTCAGAACATTGGAGAATCTTCTCTAGCCCCATTGAGGACAATAGGAGCTCTTGATTGCGAAGCTCTTTTGACTATCTGGCCATTTAGGGTATATCTGCATTGCAGCTGGGAATGATCCGCCCTGCCTAGGGAGTCAGACTCCTGCTCGCAGAGCTTGAGCTAGCAAGCTAGAAACAGCACTGTGCAGCTCAGATGGCAGGTGGACTCTCAAGCCCACCTGACCCCCTGGGTCTGAGCTTGGGCGGCTAGCCTGCGTAGTTTTATGGTGGCTGGAGCGTCAGCTTCCACACTGCTATTTTTAGCACACTAGCTCAAGCCCTGCTACCAAAAGAAAAAAGCAGCAGCAGTTGTGGAAGGCATTTCAAGGCTTTTATGCATGACTACTAACAAAGGAAGGGGAGAAAGGAATATATAGATTAGCCAAGAAACACAGAGGACTTGGCAGCTGCGAAGTGCGTCAAAGAAGAAAGCCGAAGAGAACGGGTGGATGATAGTGAAATCATTAGGAGATGGCCGAGGTTTTATGAGAAACTGCTCAGTGAAGAGAATGCGAAGAAATCGTTGTGGGAAGTATGCGCAAGCAGCAGCTTTGCAAGACCATAAGCCTCATCACTGAAAACAATGAAACATGGGAATGCAGTGGGAGCAGACAGTGTACCAAAGGAGGCATTTAAAGCATTCACCCATGAGGTCGTGGTGATGATGACAGACTTCTTCAACTTAATTCTCTGTACTGGAAAATGCCTGACAAGTGGAGGAAGAGCACATTGGTCCCTATCTAAAGGAGGTGTGCAGGAATGTAGTAATTACCAACCCATCTGTGATGTTCTCCTCAGGAAGTCCAGAGCCATAAGCTCACTGTATTACCTCTCTGCCTGAGCAAGAGAGAGCTTTGCTGGAGCTTAAACAGTGTGACAGCCTTCTGCCGCACCACTCTGTCCACCTCAGCAGAAAATACCTCCAGACTCCGCCATTCTAAACTTCCCCTTGCAGGTAACATTTAGTGAGCCCTGGTTCTCGAGTCCCCTACAGGCATCTTTCTGCAGCGCACAGTCCCCCTCACTTGGACGCTCATCGAAATTAACCACATCTCCTGTCTCCAAAGAGACAGAATACACCTCAGCCTGTTGGCTCAGTTGAAGATATAGAATCATAGAATCATGGAATATCAGGGTTGGAAGGGACCCCAGAAGGTCATCTAGTCCAACCCCCTGCTCGAAGCAGGACCAATTCCCAGTTATGCACCTCTCTTTACTATAACAGGAAGGGGATGGTTTATAGTAAAACTAATAATAAGTTTATTAATAAAAATATAGATTTAAGTGATAGTGAGCAAAAGAAGAGAGACAGGTCTGGTTACAAACAAAACAAAAATAACCGACTTTCTAGTGACTGAAACTTAACTTTAGCAAGCTACAATCTTTGCTTGAGCAGCTGTCTCACTCACATCAAGCTATCAGCATCCCCAGCCTCTCAGGCAGAAGGATCCACCAATCACAGCATCAGAGGGTGCTGATCCCTTTGTCTCCTAAGTGATGGATAACAAAGGAGTCCCCTTTCTGTCCTTTTATAGTTCAAAAAGCCTTTGAAATGTGTTCTTTGAAAATAAACCCAGACAAAATTCCTTTCCCCTACTGCTTGTTTTTCGGGGTGCAGGTGCCAAGCCCCTTCTTCATCCTCAGGTCAATTTGCTTTTTTTAATTCACTTGATCACGTTGTTTACCTTAGATATAAATGTCTTTCTATTGTCCTGTGCTTGTAATCAAGCCATGATGTTTTTCTCTTCTACCTGTTTGCTTGATCCATGCAGATGGGTAAATCCACATTCCTTTGTCTAGGTCAGGCTAGTTTATCAACTGCCTCCACAACATATTTTAAGAACATATTTCCAGCATACATACATAACTCTGTATACACAACCTGTACATACATTACACAAGTTTTTTCTTTTTTTTAGGATACTCTGAGACATAGTTGGGCTACATATTCTGTTGGGTGCAGTCTTTGCGAGTTGGCATAAAGGGGCTTTCAGGGTCACACCATCAAGTTAATGGAGAACACTATGAAATGGCTAGAAAGAATTATCGAGAAAAGATTTTAGCAGGAGCTGGAGCATCAAATATATGACAACCAATTTGGGTTTATGCTTGGAAGATCAACAGTGGAGGCGGTATTTGCGACCTGAATATTGCAGGAGAAGTACAGGAACAAATGCATGGCACTGCACTTGGTGTTGGTAGATTTAGAGAAGGCTTGTGGCAAGGTTCCTAGAGAATTGCTTTGGCGGTGCCTTTGGTTGTACAATCTGCCAGAGACATATGTTCAGACTGTGAAGGATATGTATGAAGGTAGCACGACAGTAGTGAGAAGCAGCTGCGCCTAGAGTAAATCATTCACAGACAGTATAGGTCTACATCAAGGATCAGCCTTAAACCCAATCCTATTTGTGATTGCAATGGATGCCTTGATGCAGGCGATTAGGGGAGAGGCTCCATGGAGCATGCTTTTTGCCAATGACATTATTTTGTGCTGTGAAGATAAATACAAACTGGAAAGGGAACTAGAACTATGGAGGCCTGCATTAGAAGAAAATGGCTTAAGAATCAGCCGACAAAAAATGGAATACATTCAGTGCTTTGTTGAGAGGGACACAACACGAAGCCAGTAAAACTAGATGTACAGAGTTAAGGCTGTGCAATAACTTACACACCTCAGTGGAGCCATGATGGGGATGTGGATGCAGATGTTAGGAATCACCTGACGAGCATAAATGGAGAGAGTTGACAGGAATTCTCTGCGATAAGGATAGGCCAAGTAAACTAAAGAGCCAAGCGTATGAGATCGTGGTTAAGTCAGCCATGATATGTGAGTCAGCATGCTGACCAATGAAGCAGAGAGAACAACAACTACAGCGCTGCCAACAGGAGAATGCTCAGGCAGGTGCTGGGTAAGACAAGAGCTGACAAGCTCTGCAGTGAAATGGTACAAGCCAGGATTCAGGTAGCCTCCATCACAGAAAAGCTGAGGGGAGGATAGACTGAGACGACTGGGTCATGTGAAATGACGGGATGTAGGATGTGTTGGCCAGAGAGTTCAAAAGCTAGTAGTCACAGGACAAAGACCACCTAAAAAAAGTTGTTTGAGATGCTGAAGGAGGATATGAAGAAGGTTGGTGACAGCTTGGAAGACACACTTGACAAGAACACATGGAAACTAAGAACCAGAGCTACAGACCCTAACTGATGGGAGAAGGTGAGGAGGACCTCGAGTCCTGCTCGCACAAGTCTGTCTCCCTAGGCTGGGAGACATGCTCCCAGCTGCAGTGTAAACATACCCGAAGAGTGTGATTTTTTTCAATGGTGAAACGCATTGGCCCAACTTTGTTCCTACTGAAGTAAGTGGGAGTTTTACCATTCTCTTCTTAGGCCAACGTTGAATGCTTTTGAAAATCCCAACCTTAATGACTGGGGATCATCAAATGATTCAGTCGTTAGAGTTCAGTTCTGATAAGTACCCAAGGTTTTACCTTAGGGTCACATTCTGCTCTGAGTTGTATAGAAGTCAACTGGGAGTAACATCACTGAGTGGATGCACTCATGATTTACACCAGTGTAATTGTGAGCAGAGTCAGCCCTTTTATAATGCCCACAATAATTTAAACAAAAAATAAAAGAAGTTTTTGATGTTGTTTGGTGGTTCGTTGGAAATCGAGATTGGAAATAGGGAGAGACTGCTCTCTTCCAGCTTTAGGTTTCCTATTCATGTCCTCCAAAGCTATATGATCTGCTACATGCCAGCATCTGTTCACTTGGCAAGAACATAAACTGGCACCCATCATATGCATAAAGTCTCTGAGCTGGGGCTCTCACCACTGGACCAGTATGCTAAGAGTGTTGTAGTAATGTCCATTCCTAGCAAACATTTTTCAGATTCTCATCAACATATAGTATGTTGTTTTCATAGCAACCATTTGTTACAGTCCTTAATGTCTCCATGAGCTAGACTACTTCCTACACTCTTGCACTCAGAGCTGAAAGACAGACAGACTGATTGAGATGTAGATAGATAAGATCAAATTCCTATCCAAACCCTTTCAAAATTCTGGGCACTCTCTATCCAGGTACTTATAAAGCTCGAATTACTCTTGAGTCGGAGAGCCTGACTGCCTGAAAGAAAAAATGTATCAACTAAAGTGAAGAAAAAATAAGGCAAATTAGTCTCTGAAAAAACAGGTTAAACTTTGTTCACTCTCAAATAAAAATAAGCGATTTCACTAGCATTTCTTTGTCCCACACAATTGGAAAATCACTGACTTTGATGGAAACGCTGAGAGCAGTTAGTGGTGTCAATTAACAAGTTTGCAAGGTTTTGGGGAAGGGAGAGGAAAGATGGGAGGATTTTATAATAATCTGCCCTACAAAATAGTATAGCTACCTGTAAAGAACCACTACAGATAAACACATTTCTTATAATGGCACAGTCAGAGCAGGTCACTGAAATGTTTTCCTTTGGAAAGGCGTTCTTCTAGTCAATCTGAGAACAGCCTTTTAATAACAATCCGAAGGGTGTATGCTTTTATGTAGGAGAAATCTATGCAAACTGGCCATCAATGCATCACCTTAAATGCTCCCCCAGCCAAGTAGGAAAATGAAAACTGCCAAGATAATATTGAAATAAATCACTTTCTAAATGGCCCTGTGCTTTTGGCTTTTTGGGGTTTCTTTCCATCATTTGTTTGGAGATGCTGCTGACTCTCAAACCTCTCACTGCCCTGAAATGTCCTTTTTTTCCACTTAATTTTTCCGCTCAGCCCCCTCTGCGTCTCATCAAAATCTGCTAGTCATTTGATTTTATTGTTGCAAACTTTCAGCTGGAGAAATAACAGAACTGGGGAACTTACGTTATAAAATGCTTAAAATGTTGTTTCCACACAGCTTTTATGGTCTTGACTTAATAGTTTCGTTGTGGCCCACATTCTGGGCTTTCTCTCTCATGCCCAGTCTTCCTTTCCACAGCAGGCTGAGGGTAGATCTGGTGAACAGCTTTGCCGACATTGAAGTACATAATGATTGGGGCCTGTGCCAACACCCCAGAGCTGAAAACCCTCAGAAACGGGATCGGGATGTGAACTCACTCCTCCTCCTCCCCCCAAAAAGACAACTGGCCTCCAAACTTTTCAGGCCCTGGAAAAGATATTTTTCTCCGCCTATATTTTCCTATTTTAAAAATGGCCCAGTCCAGTGCTGAATTTGCGTGCTGCTGCCCGTTCATCCGGGTGTGTGATACGTACTCAAAGCCCTGAGTTTGTTAGACTCTTCTCATTACAAGCAGCTCAGCTACCTTCTCACCTGCTCTGACTACATTCTTCTGACTACAGAGCCTGTTTATTGTCCATCCCAGGAAGCAGGACTTGTTTATACGCTTGATTTAAACACAAAATACCTTTTAACTTTTAAAGTAAGAAAGAAATATAAAGAAAAGTGTGATCTGTTACTCACCCCCAAACTGAGCAAACTGCTGAGCCCTTGCTGATGAGTTATGGGTTTTATTTTTTTCCATGGTCACCCAAAATTACTCTTCCTAATTAATGAGCATGCCCTTTATCTCTCTCTTGCATGCTGTAACACTCAAACTTCAAAGGGAAAAAAAATCCCTTGCTGGTTCATGTTACAACTTCCCAGTGTCAATCATGCAGGCTGAAACTTGGGGAAAAAAACAAGACACAAATTGCCTCCCTTTACAGGGTCAGCGTTTACTTCTGTACATCCCTAGCTAGCCACAGATCTAAAGTTTCTTACCTCTACTCAGCAAGGGCAGCCCTTAGGTGGATTCGGCAGATGTTCAGAGGCCCTGCTGTGCTCCCCGACCTCAGTTAAGCCCCACGCCAGAAAGGAGAAGGGTGAGCCCTGGGTTACCGGGTGCTAACACATTGCAACTGACATCTCGTTTGAATGACTTCTCTTTGCTGCTTTTTTTTTTTTTTTTTTTAAACAGGAAATGTACTAAGCCACAACACTTACCCCAGGTTCCTGTCTCTGCTTAAGGGTTTGTGACATGGGAGGAGAGGCTAGGGCACAAGCTCGAGCATTGGTGCCCGGCACACTACAGTTGTTTGGTATCTTGTGGTGGGTCAGGCTGCATTCCATTATCTCCAGGGTCCAGGAGTGTCCTTTGCTGTTTCTCCATTTATCAGCCACTGCAGCTTGAGGCGGTGCTCTGTGCTGAGAAGCTGTGCAGAATGAGCTGTGGCTGACTCTGCCCTGCCACCTTTGGCATGAGGAATCCTGGTGCTGGGAAAGAAAGTAGTGTTAACAGTCTTGTGTAGTGTGAGATTCATATTTCTGCCTTCTGAGGTTAGGCCAGCGGCAGAGTTGACAAAGGTCAGAGTGAAGCAGGTGTGAATGCTCCCCACCAAACAGGTGTGTCCAGGTAAAAATGGAAGAAAATGAAACTCTAAGGCAGCCATCTTCTTTATGATTGTCCATCCTTATTTTCTAAGGACTCAGCCAGAAGTGATGCTTGATCCAAGTCTATGGCTAAACAGTGCTAGAATAAAATGTGAGAGCCTCCCTTAGCATTTAACTATTTCACATTTGGGGACAATGTATACCTTCAGATCAGCGGCACTGCTATGGGTACCCGCATGGCCCCACAGTATGCCAACATTTTTATGGCTGATTTAGAACAACGCTTCCTCAGCTCTCGTCCCCTAAAGCCCCTACTCTACTTGCGCTATATTGATGACATCTTCATCATCTGGACCCATGGAAAAGAAGCCCTTGAGGAATTCCACCATGATTTCAACAATTTCCATCCCACCACCAACCTCAGCCTGGTCCAGTCCACACAAGAGATCCACTTCCTGGACACTACAGTGCTAATAAACAATGGCCACATAAACACCACCCTATACCGGAAACCTACTGACCGCTATTCCTACCTGCATGCCTCCAGCTTTCATCCTGACCACACCACACGATCCATCGTCTACAGCCAAGCTCTGCGATACAACCGCATTTGCTCCAACCCCTCAGACAGAGACAAACACCTACAAGATCTCTGTCAAGCTTTCTTACAACTACAGTACCCACCTGCAGAAGTAAAGAAACAGATTGATAGAGCCAGAAGAGTTCCCAGAAGTTACCTACTACAGGACAGGCCTAACAAAGAAAATAACAGAACGCCACTAGCGGTCACCTTCAGCCCCCAACTAAAACCCCTCCAACGCATTATTAAGGATCTACAACCTATCCTAAAGGATGACCCAACACTCTCACAAGTCTTGGGAGACAGGCCAGTCCTTGCCTACAGACAGCCCCGCAACCTGAAGCAAATACTCACCAACAACCACATACCACACAACAGAACCACTAACCCAGGAACTTATCCTTGCAACAAAGCCCGTTGCCAATTGTGCCCACATATCTATTCAGGGGACACCATCACAGGGCCTAATAACATCAGCCACGCTATCAGAGGCTCGTTCACCTGCACATCCACCAATGTGATATATGCCATCATGTGCCAGCAATGCCCCTCTGCCATGTACATTGGTCAAACTGGACAGTCTCTACGTAAAAGAATAAATGGACACAAATCAGATGTCAAGAATTATAACATTCATAAACCAGTCGGAGAACACTTCAATCTCTCTGGTCACGCAATCACAGACATGAAGGTCGCTATCTTAAAACAAAAAAACTTCAAATCCAGACTCCAGCGAGAAACTGCTGAATTGGAATTCATTTGCAAATTGGATACTATTAATTTAGGCTTAAATAGAGACTGGGAGTGGCTAAGTCATTATGCAAGGTAGCCTGTTTCCTCTTGTTTTTTCCTACCCCCCCCCCCCCCAGATGTTCTGGTTTAACTTGGATTTAAACTTGGAGAGTGGTCAGTTTAGATGAGCTATTACCAGCAGGAGAGTGAGTTTGTGTGTGTATGGGGGTGGGGGGGGATGTGAGAAAACCTGGATCTATGCAGGAAATAGCCCGACTTGATTATGTAAAGAGTTGTCACTTTGGATGGGCTAGCACCAGCAGGAGAGTGAATTTGTGTGGGGGGGTGGAGGGTGAGAAAACCTGGATTTGTGCTGGAAATGGCCCAACTTGATGATCACTTTAGATAAGCTATTACCAGCAGGACAGTGGGGTGGGAGGAGGTATTGTTTCACATTCTCTGTGTGTATATAAAGTCTGCTGCAGTTTCCACGGTATGCATCTGATGAAGTGAGCTGTAGCTCACGAAAGCTCATGCTCAAATAAATTGGTTAGTCTCTAAGGTGCCACAAGAACTCCTTTTCTTTTTGCGAATACAGACTAACACGGCTGTTCCTCTGAAACCTCCCTTAGCATTGTTTCCGGGGTTTACGCATCCCAAAATAAATCCTTATTTGGACTGAACGCCAGACCCCCTTTCCCTTCACCATAAATCCCTTGCTTTCTCTGTATTTGCCCCTCTATTTCAACCATCCTTGTTAAGTTTCTTATTTTACGTTTCTGAAATTCCTGTGGGATTATTTGGCCCAGAGGGCTTCAATTATTATTGTCAGAGGGGAATATCTGCTGCCACCCATCCTTACAGTCATGCTCAGCCTGGTAGACTTTGGGCCTGGAACTTCAATATGCTATTCCAGGTGTGTTCTCAGGGACGAGTGCCTCCCTGCTCACCTGATTCATTGTGTATGTAGCCCAAAGTCACCCTGGCCACCTTTCTGCCATGTCACTGCAATAGTAGGCCAACTAGAATTTGCTGCCCAATATTATCCCAACATCTTTCAGCCATTATTGCTTTCCGAGGCACTTTGATCCCATGGGATACCTTCCAGCTGACATCCCCTGTGGGGAATAAGGAGCCTACAGTGCCTGTTTTGCTTTGGTACCAGGATGTGAGAGGATCCGTGTATCAGGGTCCGCTGTCAGCAGGTGGCAAGGCAGACTGATTGATACTGACTCACTGTGGTGGGCGTGGGGTTAGGTAATTCCACTCAGAGTAGGAGAGAAGCAGGTGTGGGCAGAAGTGGGGGAAACGGCCTGGAACAGAGAGGTCATGGAGGGAAACCCTAGGAATAGCCTAGCGTGGGCGAGAAAGTTTAGACTAAGCTTAAGTGTTGTTGCCGTTTCCACTGCCAATCAAAGAACTATCTCAGAAGAGGGATGTTTTTGGACACTAAACCAGTGCACGCACGCACTCCATGCTAGAGCATGGTAAAATTTCACTCCATTCAGAGCATATTTTTGTGATTTGCCCTTTGCATTCTTAACCAAAGCAGAATGCTTTCAGCAAGGACCTGATCCAAGGCTCATTGAAATCAATGGAAAGGCTCCTATTGACTTTAGGGAATGTTAGTTTTGGCCCCAAGAGAATAAACACAAATCCATTTCAAATTTGTGTGTTTCGTTTAAACTCCACTGATTTCCTCATGCCTCCTTGGGACCTGCTGGATTGTGTCTCTCAGCTTTATTTTTTATTTATATTTTTAAATCAAACTTTTGTGAGATTGTATAAAATTGCAAACAGCCAAAGCAATAGACCAACCAAGAGTAAACAAATAGAGAAAAATATGTAAAATACACATTTCACAAAGTCTCATTTATTCACAACCTCTGTTACTCCAATATGCTTTGTACATTATTAATTGTGATGATTTATGGGACTCCTGATGAGTTTCTATCCTACTGCACTTAATTTTTAACAAGCATAAATTCACTGTGCTTTGCCCAGCAGTCAGTGACAAGAATTGTTTTATAGCTCTTATGACACTTTCCTGATGTATATTTCAATCAGAACTTCAAAATGAGGTTGCAGTCTCTTTAGGCTATACGTTCCTGGTGCTGTTGTACATTTTCCACCTCCCATTTCACAGTTTAGGACATTTCACCTGGCCCTAAAATGCAGCTGTTTTCAACCACAGAGGCACCTGCACTTCAGAGCTGGACGATATAATCCCTAAACTTTAAAGGTTCTTCCCCAAGTACTGCTGAAGTTGGTGGGAACTTGAAGTCAGGCTTGATGGGAGTTCTGGGTGTTCATGGAATGCAGAATTGGCCTCTATACACATACATTCTGTAATTCACATTAGCAAGATTGTAAGCTCTTTGGGACAGGAAGTCTTTTTATGATGTGTGCGTCCAATGCAAAAATAAGCCCTGACCCCTGCTTGGGCTTCAAGGTGTTATTGCAATGCAGATAAATATTACTAACAATAACAATTAGTGGTTAGCATAAAGGGATGCTGGGGGACCTGATGCTGACTCAGTTAGAGCACAGTGAGAGGAGAATGAGATCCTCTTAGGTTTTGCAAGGATGTTTAAAAAGCAGATTTCTTCTAAGCAGCTTTGTGCAGTAGAACAAATGGGAGGTATGCTACTGAAACCAAAGTGGGCTGTTTGCAGCATTGGGAGGTCTGAGTGTGGCTGTCCTGGTTCAAAGTGGGTGAGACCCACACCCGTCCCAGCAGACATGAACCTAGCCATTGCTAATGCTGTTCTACAGCTAGTGAGAATTTGCTGCTTTGCAGAGGCCTTGTGTTGCCCCCTCTTCTCATCTCCAGAGAGAAAATATAAAAACAAAGGATGGGATTTTCAAAAGCACCTGAGTGACTTTGATGTACAAATCTCATTGAAAGTCAATCGGCTTTGTTGCTACTAAGTCCCTTAGATGCTTTTGAAAATAGTGCCCAAAATATTTAGACTGAAAATGTCCCCTTTTACCTGAGATTCATGCCATTCGGTTTGTTTTCTAGTTAGGCCCTGGTGCATGTGACAAGCTAACTTCTTTTGACATTTTCCACATTTAACCTATTTCTTGTGAATGAGTCCAAAAATTCCGGAGCCCAGTCTCGTATTAAGAGGGGGATTCTCACGGCGGCGTATGGATAGTACAGTTCCCGTTTCCGCAGTGCTCCACTCTTGATAATTTCCAGTGCGCACTCCTCCTTTGGTGCACCTGGCTTCTGCATCACGTGGGAAACAGTTTTCTCAGCAGTTTCTGGGGAGAAGGAAAAATACAA